TTAATTAAAACCAAATCAGTTTCCAATGTAAACAAGATTATCTGTCTAACCCATTCAATTGTGTTACATGTTCATGTTTTCAGAATTGAGATAATTAGTTTTAATCACTTTAATAAACAAACTTATGATATTCTGATTACTATCATGTATCAAACCCTTTGAAATTAAATTCATCAGAATATGTAAATCATTTCCTCCTCTTCACCCAATTTTCCTGTGTTCTTTACTTGTATATTGATTAATTAATCATTTCATGGTGATCATGAAAGTGTGAGTAAGTTTCATGATTGATTACACGTTGTTTGTGTGTATGATTATTAGTACAATGAGGGGGAGAAAAGGTAATTGTTGTTAATGATTAGGATGAGGATGAAATATTCTGGTTCAAATAAGCAGAAATAAATTGCTCCAATTTTTAACTAATTATTATCCACGATTAAGAGGATTGTCATCAGCAATTAACTAATTGAAATAACAAGAAAAACGATAAAAAAAAACAATACAATCTCAATAAACTGTAAGTGTCTTGATCAATCATCATTATAATGATGATATATGAATATTAAGATGATAAATCAAAGGAAATGATGATAAACTTAAGTTCAGTCTTGAAGGTTAATCTAATTTTTTTTTCTTCCTCAAATCATCATGATCATCATGATAATCTGAATTCCGAATATTAGTTTATTTGGTTCAATTAATTCCTATTCGATACTTTTATCTGCTTCACCTTTTGGTTGAATGTTTTGATGAGGATAAAGATGAAAATATCATGAAGATAATCTGATGAGATTAGATGATCATCATGATGATCATGAGAAAATCAGGAGTTGGAGCAAATAGTAAGAAAAGATATTTTCTTTTCTCAAATCAGTTCGAGATTCAACGAAACTTCTAATAGAACTTTTTTTTCTTCTTCTTTTCTATCTGATCTTGAGATAAAATTTCATCTTCTATTCAACCGTAAGTTCATTTATTTCATTCCAATGTAAATGTTACCCTGTTCATGGTAATAATCTGATAATAACTTTGTTTCAAATTCTTATTTGGAAGTTTTTTTTTGTTGTTCCAAAAAAACTTCGAGATCACTTATCACTCCTTTCCCACCGACATCACCTTTCCACCTCTGTTGTCAAGTTTAATTTTTAAGACTGAATATCTTGGTGATATCATTTGAATCACAATCCAATTGATTTAGACCATTAGCTGAGTATCTGAATCAATGATAAAGCTCATGCAGTGATCAGAATATAAAGTTGAAATCAAGAGTTTTCCAAAAAAAACTTGAACCATCATGAACTTGATGGTGATGAACACAAAGTATCATTTACCATCATGAACGATTGATGATTTTACTGTTACACTTTATACATATAGATATGTGTCTCATCATCTTTATCATCATTATCATCATCATGATGACTACTCATGTATTTTATTCAAAAGCTACACCAGTGTGTCCACTATTACCTTCAGTACCTTTGGTCAAGAAGAAGATGAAAGTTACAAGAAAATAATGTAAAAAAAGAAACACAAGAGAAAGAGATAAGATGATAAAGAAGATGAGGATGATAAGGATGATGAGGATGATGAGTAAGAATGTTTTTGTTGATACCTTGAATTGACTTTCCAAGTATCTTGAAATTAATGGACTGTCAAGTTGTTTGTGGATAGGATGATGAAGAATGAAGTGAGTGAGAGAGAGAGAGAGAAAGGAAGATAAGACATGATGATGATGATGATTTTGAAACCAAGAAGATGACACAGAGAGAGTGTATCTCACTCATCAACCTTATCTACCCACTCCCACTCACTACCCTCCGAATTGACCGCTTTGATTGACCTTATCGGTATCATCTTTTGACCTGAATTGGTTGAAACCACAAGATGATGATGATAAATCTGATCATCTCATCGAGTCTCCAGTTACATTTAGCAACCATTAACTATCAAAATGTCAATTTTATGTATTTCAAACTCTGAACATGAGGTTTTTTTCATGGAAAGTTCAGTTGAACAAGTTGAAATAAAAAAAACGAAAATAAAACTTTTTGATCACAACTTTTTTCTCTTATTTTCTCCTCTGAAATTATTATCTTCTTATTATCTTTTATTCAGGTAGTGATGTGGATTCTGATGATGATCAGTATTAAATATCATCAATTTTCAACAGTTACTCCAATTCTGATAATATTTTATATCCAATTCAAGATTATGATTGAAAAATCAACAGATTTAACATCCAAAATTTAATGTCTCAATATTTTTTTTTTACTTAAATTATCATGAAATATGAAATAAAATATATCATGAAAATATTAAATCTAGGAAATAGTTGATAGATATCTTGAAATCCACTTCCTTATGAACTTTTATAAAAGAAACATCAATAATATAATAATAATGCAATAAAACTGTTGAATTTTTTTTTGGCTATTACTGTACATTCATGATGGTTATTCATGTCCATACAATTCTGAGTTCATGATAACATGATAACCTGCTTAAGGAACAAACCTTTTACCAGCCCTCTCATCACCATGTCTATTTGTGACTACATATCATGAAATTTTCATTCTTTGTCCAATGTTCAAGATATAAAATCTACTGACCATGTAACCAGACAGGGGAAGTTAAAAGCAAACTGAAAATTATCATGAAATCAACTGAATATCAACTATTCCTATGTTTTCAATCCCTATTTTCATTTTGATAACAAGATTTCATTTCTTAGCAATGATATCATCATGAAATTGTAATAGCAACCATGATAATCTGGTTGATAAAATTCATAATATTATAAGAAATTTGATATTTAAGTTACCATCAATACAAGAGCTGAAAAAGTTCATGAAAAAATTCAGAGTCTATTACGACTTATATTTTATGTATAAATTTAATTGTTGAACAGAAAACAGAAACAATTTGATTGTAACAATTGATTATCTATGAAGAATCGTTGTCATGATACCATGATGATGAAGAGATAAAATTAGGAACAGAAATCTGATCAATCCAAGCGATGGTAATTAATTCATTGTTGGAATTTTTTCACTTCTCTGAAAATCAATTTGAACCTGAACTTTTGTTCATCTACATCAGATAATCTAATCATTATCACCATGATGAATACTATCATGAAGGTAACATTATATTCAACATTAATCCAACTAGAAAATTGTTTAACCCAAGAAAATGTCCATTGTAAAAATTGAAGAGGAAAAAAATGTTTCGAAAGTTTAGAACTTGCAAAAAAAAGTTCTAAACTGAAGTTATCATGGAAATTTTCATTCAATTATCATGATGAAGGTTGATAATAGACTAGAAAATAATGATGAAAGTAATAGTTTTTAAATGCTATTCATACATGAGTATGAAAACCAACAACTTAGAATATGAATTCAGGATAATAGTTCATCCAATGTAAATGTTATTATTCAAAGGTATTCATGTATTCAGAATGGATGATGAAAGAGACAGATAGATATGGAAGATTTCAAAATTTTTCTCTCTCTTTTTCATCATCACCATGAAAATATTTTTCTATCGAAATGAAAGTTAGAACTTTCTTTCCTTATCGAAAAAACTTCTAATCGAAACTCATCAAAGTTCAAAATTTCTTTAAATACTCTCATCATTTACGGATTAACATGGTGATCGCGATGCTGATGACGACGAAGATGCTGGTTGGTTGATTCATAATAATCACCCTGAAAGATGAATCTTAAGTGATGATGAATAAGGAGGAAAAAAATTGTTCTCAGAAAAAAGTTGACGAGCCAAAAAAAAGAGATCACTGGTCCATTGATTATCTCATTTCCGTTTCCATTTTCTTAATATTATTCATAATCATGGGAATAAAACACAAGAAAGTGAAAGAGCCAGAGAAAGATAAACCATTGAAACGTAAATTGTTACAATCAATTTAATTGTTATAAAAATTTATTCCAAAAAAAAGTTGATAATAAACTAAGTGAATACTTTTAAAGATACATAATCATCTTGATCATCAAAATTTTCATTTACATGATTACTTTCATATTGAGAGGATGAAGATGATAAAATATCATGTCAATCCTTTGAATCTTTATCAATATATTAAAATGAATAAAAGTTTTTTCCCTTCATAATCTTATTCAATTGTTAATAACAGTTTTCCGAGTAACATTTATCATCAGCAAGATGATTATCATGGTGATGATGATGATTTGGATGATTAAGAATCACAATCAGTAGAAATTTAAAATTTCTCTTTTTTACTTTCACCATCTTCCCCAGCATTTAATTCAGTTGAGTTAATAATTTATACACATAATAGACGATACAATGAACAGAGAGAAAGAGAGAGAGAGAGAGAGAGAGAGAAAAAAAGTTCCGAGAATTCTGAGTCAATTCTGGGTTATTATTATTTCTTATTATTTTCATGGGCTTACATTGAATATCAAGAGGATGATTTTTCATATTTTCTTATCGTTCATCTCGATTCAATCTGTTATCTCAATGAACTTTTTTTATATACACATTTAACTGATTATCATGGTGAGGAATAAAAAAACTCGATAACTTTTAACTTCGTTCATGAATTTCTGATGATCGAGATGAAAATTATTAAGATTTTAATTGCATCGTAATTATGTACTTGTAATTAGATGATGCGATTGATTGATTGTTACTCTCTCTCTCTCTCTCTCGTTTTACTATTAATGATGATGATGATTAACAGGGTGATGGTTAATTCCTTGAGTATTAATTGTTTCAAATGTAATTGTATCTCTTGTATCATGGTGTAAATGGAGAAAAAAATCAATGTTGAATGAAGAAAGAAAAAGTTCTAAGGTGGCGCGCAAGTTCAGAACTTTTTCTCTGTTCTGTTCGTAGAAAAGTTCGATGGCCACGCCTTTTCCATGCTAAAGTTCTGTGACTATCTATTGCTACTGCTGTTTCAGATTATTTCATGATAATGAGAATAAGAGAGAGTGGGAGAGAGAGAGAGACGGTGGGAGTGGGAAATGATTCACGAGTGAAAACAATTTTCATTCAGTTCTAGTTTGTTCAAAGTCGTGATTCACTTCATGATTCAATTGTTAATCATCATGAGATATAACTCATCATCATGTGTATTCAATTGTTGTTATTATTATAATCTCATGAATTGGAAAGTTCAAAGTAAATAGAATAACTTTTTTTTTTCAATTCGTCAAAATTTTCTCATCCCTTCGCCTCCTTACACTTACCATGGACTTTGAAACAGTTAATCAAACTTTTCGCTTCTCATTAAGTTACAATCAGGAATTTAAATTTAATTGTGATACTCATCAATTAGTTAATTAAACGTATATGAAGTGCCAACGTAGGACAATTTGTAATGGCGTTAACTCATTCATTTACCTGGATCATTCATACAATTATTTTCATCCCATTCAGTTTAGGTGAGTTTCAAATTCATGAATTTAACTGAAGTTAAATTGTAACAATTGCGATTCTCAATCATGTCTCTTAACTAATTGTTACATTAATTTGATACAAAATAGTTACAGTTATATAAAGTTGAGGAGATATTGATCACTCCATGAAGATGAAAATAATGATCAGATTTTTCAACTAACCATTGAGATCATAAAACGATAACTTATCCATGATGATGACGATAACAAAGATTATTGTTCAATGAAGCAAATACTTGACCATTCATTGGTATTCCCTATTCACCCCCCACCGAATGCTAAATGCTTGACCAATTTAATAAATTCCCTTTGATTAGTAAATTAAAATCAACAACAATCAAGACAATTACCATCATCATGATGATAAATCACTTTATCGTCAATTGTTATCACCAGAATTTATGTTTTCCTTTTTTTCCTCTCACTTTTATCCAGAACTTTTTTCCCCCTATCAACTGAATAGTTCAGTCCCATTATCATGATGATGATATCTTTTAAAATACAAACAGCAACAATGAATGTTTTCATCTCATCTGTTCATGATGATGATGATGATGATATAATATAACCATGAATCAGAAGCTTTCATCGAAATCAGAGTTTTGATCATGAGAAGTATAAAAAAAAGTTCTGACTGAAAATTAAATTCCATGATATTAACATTAACCAACAGAATTTTTTGTTAATAACAATTAACTCATTACAATATTGGTGATTTTGTAAATCATGTTAATTATGATTAACTGAAAGCAATTGAATTCCTGTTAACTCAATTACATGATAATAATTGAATGAAGTTATTATTACAACATATTTCATGATATTTACTTTTTGATTACAATGAATTTAGTTTCATGAGGCTAATTTACTGGAAAAGCAAATTTAATGATCCTAATGATTAGCAATTAAACTGATCAGTTCTTATACTTGTGTCTATCATCATGATGAATATATCAAAATACATGATGATGATAATAAAAGGATAAAAAAGTTCCTAATCCTTGAAACATTAAATGTAATATAAGAGGAAAATAATTCTAACCTGAAATGATTTTATTTTCATCTTCATGATGATTATGATATTTCATAGTTATTTCCCTGATCCTTTACCCTGAAATTGACACAATGATTATGATGAAACAATTGAGATAATTCAGTTTCCATGATATTTGTTTCACTTTCAGGATCATGAATTAAGTTCATCATTTAGGATTGAAAGTTAATCTGACGATAATAATGATAATATATTATTACCTTTCCAATGATAATGATGGCGATTTATGTTCAAATGATTAATCAATTAATCCCTGAACATGATAATAATAATCATGATGAGAGGAAATTTCAATTATTTCAGAATTTTGAACATTTCAATTGGAGTTGAAAGGAAAAAATCTCTTTGAGAATTTAAATTCTCTTTCTAATAATCTATCGTTTCCTTTTCCGGTTCTCATGATTATCATGATGATACCAATTGACCTCATCTTTTTGTTAACTTCATTTGAATTCATTTCCTGATCCATTTTTAACTTTCATGATAACTAACAACAAATTGAACTTTTTAATTATTTCTCTGATTATAATGACTAATAACTTTGTCTTAATCTTAATTGTTACTCTGTGAATAACGGTTAATCATTAGAGTTTCAGTTTCGTGTCTTAATCATATTAAAACTTTAGTTGGAACTTTTTTTTCACAACTAAACTTAATCACGATCCTGATTAAGTCTTTATAACAACTTTTGGGTATTGTTTCAATGTCTTAATTGTTACTTTGATTATTGTTGATTAACCAATTTGAATTTTTCATCTTTCTCTTTGTCTTAATATGATGAAGAAAAAAAAACTTTTTCATTATTCTGGTTAAGGTGATAATTAATGACTAACCTTGTGAATACCATGTAAACCCAATCAGATAAATGAACTTTTCTCTCTCACTCCTTGATTATTTGTCTCTTAATTGCTCATCATAATCAAGAAGAAAGAAATATATTCATAGAGAGAGAGAGAGAGAGAGAGAGAGAGAGAGAGAAAAATCTATATCGAAACAAAAACATTTCGAAAACTTTTATTCTTCTCAGAACTTTTTTTCCTCTTGATCATCATTGTTACTGAACATCTTAAATTGTGTCAAATTATGTTAACATGATGATAATCAGCAAATTATCATTAACTCAATCACTTGAAATGGTTTATAATGATTCCTTTTGATTTTCCTCTTTTTAAACACTTTGATAATGATCATGATGATTCCTGATTCTATTTGAACCACTAATTTGATTATTATAACCATTATCATCTACTGACCACTGACCATTGGTTGATGGTCAAGTTTTCAGGTTGTTAAAACACAAAGAATCACTTGAAACTGACCATTACATGATGGAAACTTTGAAAACTCAGTAATCAGAATGTAAAACAATCAATAAACAAGGGAAATGATCAACCCAGAAAACTGTAACTCAATATTTACTTACTCAAGCTGAACAATTTAATTGATTAACATTAATTAGTTGGATATAAATTTCAAGCTTTTATTTACTTTTCTGTTTCATGATAAGTTGAGTTTCAGAATATTTTTATAAATATAAAAGTAATTCATGTAAATATACAAATTAACATGATAAACAATTTCAATCCTGAATTAATAATGAAATAAAAAATTTCAAAGATTAACAGATGAACAATTTGTTAATCATGAATAATTAGGAAAACATGTTGATTGAATTGTTTGATTTAAAATGAACCGAATCAACAATCAAGTTAATTGTTGATTGATCACACAAAAAGTTGAGAGAAAATTTTTTCCGATCAATATAAAATTCATCATATGTAATCATTGAGCTACTGTTGGTTACGATTATCAGAACTTTTCTCAGATTATATAATTAGAACAATTTTATTTGGAATTTAGAAAATTTTAACAACCCAAATAAGAACAGAAAATTTGTCAACAAACACAGAGAATTTGCTTCTATTTTATCATGGAAACCATGATAACAGGGAATGATTCATGATGATAATATGAGAAGAGAGAGAAATTCCAACTAATAAGTTATTCTCATGAAATGAACTTACATGATATTGTTGATCATCATGAGAATAAAAATATTTTCCATTTATTAGTAGATTATCGCCCTGATCATAATCTAATGATAATCAATGGAGTTGAAGAATTCCCTGAATTCATGAGATAATAAACTGATAAAGTTCCGATGCTGGAACATGATAAATATTGAATTGAAATCTCAGGTTGAGAAAGTTCAATATAATAAAATATTTTAGGAAAAAACTTTGTTTCCAATTTGTAAAGTTGATTAGATTACATGATTATTAGCATTGTTATTATTATTCAATTGAGATTAATTCTGAAACTTTAATCATGATATAGTTGATAATCAGAATTGTAATTAATTGCTTGTTAAAACTTGTGAACCGGTTAATTTAATTTACTTTTTTTTCTTGATAATGTTCATGAAATGATTACATGAAATCATTGACTTTCAATTGTTGTTTCAACTTCCGTTATTTTTTCATCCTCTATTCATAATCACTTCCCTTTTATCATCTTTCCCTCTCCCTGATGAAGATAAGGATGATCATTATCATCAAAGTAATTGGCTCAATATAAATTAAAGTAAATTTTTTTCAACAATTTTCGGTTTGATTAACAAACAAATTGATTTGATTATTTTGTTGTAATCATGAAAAAAGTAAATCTTATCAATATATTATTATCATTATATTTTATCATCAGGGAAACATTATCAATCTGTGGTCATGATGATGATGATTGTTTTTCATGATGATGATGATGATGAGGTGGATAAGTGGCACTGAGAGTTGGAATCACATAGAAACAAATACAAGATTCTGGTAAAACGATATTATTATTATTTGTTACGATGGTCATTTCTCTCACTGAATTATAATCACCATGATGGTTATCAGATTGATTAAGATGATATTGAATGTGACTCACTCTCATCATCCGTTTTTTTTATTATTGTTTTCATCTTGAGCATAAAATCATGAGTATCTTTCAAAGTTCTGATTATTCTGAATCTCTCTTTTTTCTGCTTCTATTCCTAGACAAGAAAGTGAGAAGAGGGTAACAAAAGATGAGGTGGTGATGATGATGACGATGATGATGATAAGAAAGAGTAGCTATGATAACAGATTAAGGGAAGATCAATATTGATCTTTTCTCTTTCTTTTTTTCCTTTTCCCTAAATACCAAGATAAAAGTATCAGAATAAAAGGGAAAATACAAAAAAGAAAGAGAGAGAGATGAGAATGAGACGATTCCCCCCTCTTCTCATCATCATCATTATCTACCATCAACCTCCCATTCATACAATTTGTCAGGACGATTAGTTTTCCTCTCCCTCCACCCACTTGCCAGCATCATCTTTATTTTAATTCCTTATCCAAATACAGAACTGAAAGAAAACATTATAATGATTCTGAAAAAAAAACTTCACCATGAACAGTTATCATGAGGAAACAACTGATCAATCAGTTAATTGAACCCTAAGTTAATCAATTGAAACATGAAATTAGATTCAAAATTATTCAAAAGTGTTTGAAACTCAACGAAAAAAAAAGAAATTGATAAGAATGGGAATGCAAAGGGAGCCAAGAGGAAAAAAATTCCCACTCTGATAAAAATTTCAAATCAACTGTAAACTGAATTGAGTTTGAAACCTTATCAAAAACAGTTATTTCCATGAAGGTATCATGAATCCTTTTTTACTCACCAAACCTGCTCAGCCCCCTGAACCATTGTAATTGTAGCCTTTGGGTATGTTAACAAGTCACTGGTTTCAAATTATTTTATCAGATGCTGAATTTATCATCTAGCATTTTCCTCATCTTCCCATGTTGTATATATAATATCTTTCCATAGATACATGAAGTGGAAGGTGGGAATTATGCCAATGAAAGGTAAATAATACCAAACGGTAAATGATGATGATAATAATATCACCACGTTTAGTTAACCGGTTAACCCATCAACCTTTAGGGCATGAATTGAACATTGAATTCAATTTACATGGGAATCTAAAAATGATAATAATACTCACATAGAACTGAACTTAGCATGAGCTTCATAATACTTAATGATAACATAGAGATATTTAAATGAGAAACTTGATGTAATCACCTTAAATGAAAAAAAACCCTCCCTGATTGAACTAATAACATTTACACTATCATATATAATATGATTCTTACAATTTGAAATTGAACATTTTCATAATTTCACCAAGAAAATTCAAGAGGATAAAATGGTGAAAGTTTCCTCTGAACAAAAGAAAAACAATTTACATTGGAATCACTGTAATCCCCTGTATATTTACATTGTTACCTGTATGATAATCACTTCATCCTGATGGCCATCAAAAAGTAAGAGGTGGGAAAAATCCTCATGAAATATTCTGGCGAGAGAAGATGAAATTTCATATTCATGTAAAGGGTGGTGATGGTTGGGCGATAATAACAATATATTCTGGTTATAGTCATCATCATCATCAGTGTTTATCACCTTGAATTGGATTTACAGTTATAATAGTTGATAGACTTTAAGGTGTCGGAAGAAAAATAGAGAAGAAAAAAGTTCTGACAGAATTTTCTCAAAATTCTGGTAAGAATATTTTTTTTTTCTCTTTTTTCTTTTCTCTCAATCATTATCATGGAAAACTAAAGAAGAAAAAGAAGAGAGATGATGATGATGATGATGATGATCTTCTTCATCACTATGATGATAAAGGAAAAATATTAGAGAAAGTCAAGAATAACATTTTGGCAGAATTTTTTTCCCTCCATGATCATGATCATGGTTTTTGATCACCATAATCATCATTATCCAATGAACAGAATACATTTATAATATTATATCAAGGTATTCATCCTTATAATACAGTTTAACCATCATCATGATGATCATCATCATCATTTGAACCTTTAAAGGATAAGCTTGTGAAATGATTACCATGATGATCATTATTAATATTTCTGAATTTGAGTGTGAGAAAAAAAGTTCATATTATTATCATTGGAATTGGTTGTTCAGTAGCATGAGGGTTTTATCATCATCATTGGATTTTGAATCATCTTCCATGATGATACTTTAAATACATAAGGAAACAGAGCTGAGTTGAAATTGGAAACATTGGAAATGTAAAGTTGTCATTTCCGGTTTTCTTTTGAAAAAAAAGTAGTTCCTGTTTCATGATGATGATGTCCTGAAACATTCAGGGTGAAACTGAATAATCACCAATCCATATATATAAATATATAGATACATGATTATCTTGAGCTCAATTTCATGATATTATTTTTGAATATGAATCTATCTCATTTTTGTTCACCTTGTTTCTCATCTTCATGTTGAGATATTATTTTATCATGAAATTCATCATATTCATGGGAAGATTGATGAATTGATTCTAATCAGTTCAGAGGTTTTAATTGGTTTTTTGTTCTTGGAACATAAAATGTAACAATTAATTAACTAACTTTAGTTGGTAATCTGAAAGGTTTTCGGAAACAAAGTTTTTCTCAGATTCCAATTCAGTTCAAGTTTCACTCTCAGTTTCATGTTTCAAGTTATATCATTATTATCATCATCATGAGATAAATGATGATATCTATTTTATCCTCTTCTTTTTCTCCTCCTTCTCATCCTCTCTCTCTCTCTCTCTCTCTCTCTCTCTCTCTCTCTCTCTCTCTTTGACCAATTCTCAGTAGACTTAACGAGGTAATATTATTGTTCATTATCATGATTATCCTCATGAAACTATCTCTCACTCTGAACTCAGTTCAAGTTCCGAGTAACTCAGATATAAACAAAATCATTTTCATGATATCGATAAGGGATAAAATCCAATTTAAATTCTGTCAAAAGATTGTTATATTAATTAACCTGTGGGTCAATTATTTTTCAACACAATCAGATTCATTTTCCCATGAAAAACTGAAATGCATCCAGAAAATTGATTCAGATTCACGAGATTGAAAAAGTTTCCTCTCAATCAAATCCAATATATTAATTCACTTGTAACAATTCATGCTGATAATTCATATTTTGATGAAAAAATATCTATTTTCATATATTAAATGGCGATGATAAAGTTCATTGATTAGGTGAAAAATTCATGAGGTTAATTGGATTTCCTAGTTGATACATAATCTTGATTCCTAATAATTGAATGTATGATTAACTTTAAGATTAAATAATCAATGGTTCCAACTGATTGGGTTCATGATACTCTCGAAATATTGGAAACATTTTTCGAGTTGAGAACTTTTCTCAAGAACTTTTCGAACTCATTTTCTTTTCTCTTTTTTTTTCTTTCTCAGGTTCCATGACATTCCAGGCCAATGTTTACGATGAATACGTTATCCTTGGTAACATTGGAGTCTTCAAATGTTACTTTCCAAACTTCCTTCGAGATCATGTCAAAGTTTCATCATGGGTTCAGGATGATGGTCGAATCTATGAAGAATCTAAATCTTCACCCAAATCAGGTTAGCATCATGATGATGAATGATTATGAACATGATAATAAAAGTTAGTTAACATTATCCATTCATTAGAAGAAATTTTTTTTTTCTTTACCAATGAATCTTAATTTTCACCATGAATGATGATCATTATCATCATGAATCTCAATTGAATCAGATAATATTTTTCATTAACATCATTAACATCAAGTTAATTAAGCTTCTCATAAGCACTTGGAACATGATGAATACATGGGTGAAAGTGTTGCCTCAATGATTGTATAATAATCTTTCTGAATATCATGAATATGAATTTTCCGTATCAAAGTTTATCACAAGGAAGAGATGAGGATCAAATTTTTCGAATAACTTTCGATTTTAGTTTTGTCGAACTCAGAACTTTTTTTCTATCCTCTCATAGTCTCGAGGAGAAAAGTTCTGAGGAAGAAAAATTTGCTTTTCACTCTTCTCATCATTATTTGATTGAGTTTCCATCATCTTCATGAACTTTATCTTACCAACTCGTTCAGAATTATCTTTATCATTTTCGGTCAATTTTCGAGTGAAACTATTTTCTTTTTCCTCGATTCATGGTATCATATCTGATTCAATCTTATCTTCATGTTGTTCATCATCATCATCTTAAGTGTCTTGTATAAGAGGATGATGATGATGATGATAAAGAAACTGAGACATTCCAATGTTAGTTGACAACCCAGGAAGACAAAGTGAACAATTTAATGGTTGGATGATTTGGAATCATGGAGAAAGACAGGATTTTTCAGAATTCTATCTGTGACTAAGTGTGATGGAAAAAGACAGGAGAAGATGATGAAGATGAAGAAGAAAGGGAAAAGATATGATGATGGAGATAAGAATGACAGAAGAGAAAAACGTAAAAGTGAATGAAAATATAACCATGATGAGAGTAAAGAAACTTTTCCAATCTCATGAAAAGAACAGAACTTTTTTCCTTTCTTTCCAATCCATGATTCCATCACTTAGTTTCACCTTTAGACCGTTTTAAAATCTGAGCCTCATGATTCAATGCTTCCTTAATTTCATCCAGAACTCTGATTTCCAATCTCTCTCTCTCCCTAGTCCACAAATCCCTCAAATCTTCATGATAGAAACACCTTAAGACAATGAACCATTTCATGTATCTGATATTATCAGATAAAAGTTTACATTCAACAAGAAATTCATTCAACTATATGAAAAAACTTACTCTCTCTCTCTCTCTCTCATCCAATCTCTTGGTGAAACCAAACAAAAAAATTCAAGGTAAAAAGTTCATAATAAAATAAATATAACAACACTCAACGAGTTCCCCGAGTATTTCCTCATGAAATATCATCATGAATAATTTCAAGTATCACTTAAAGTGTTGAATTGACTTAACCATCAATGAATGAATCCAAAAAAAACAAACATAACCACTTAACATGATATATTTCATGAAGAAAAGATAAATAAAACAATATTTTGATCGTGGAAAAAAATTTTTAGATTATGATAACATGTTACATGACAATCTTATCTCAACCTGTCAGCTCTGATATCATGATGATAATTATTCATCAAATTTTTCAACAATCAATTGAAATATAATCTAATCCGATTGTAAGTAAATCGCAGTCTCCCAATGGTGTTAACATTGAATCACTTGTTTGTTATACATATGAACTTTAGGAATTGATTCAGAATGAGAAAGATAAACTTGTTTATCGAATTGGAATATCTCTCTCTCTCTCTCTCTCTCTCTTCTCAATTCGAAAGAAAAAGTTTACAAATAGTTCCAGGGAACATGATATCATGAAGGTGTATCTTTTAAGGTATGGAAATAAATGAACCATGAAACATGATGAAGATAAAAAAATATCAGAACTATCGTTTCACTCGAATAGATATATTAACATTTCGAACTATTTAGAACATTTATTTTTTTTCATCGAATTTTTTTTTCATTCCAATGATATGAAAGTGTTCAATTGAATCTGAATAATAATATAAATGAACATAAAAATATAAGAATCTCATGTAAACACCTAAAACCTCAGACGATTCAATTTTTCTCCCTTGCCTGATCAGAATTAATCTGAACTTGACTATTAACTAATCTGAGATCATGAGTTAACCATGTGATTCATGTAAATTGTTTGAAATTAATTGATCAGATAATATGATTAACTGTTTGTTAACTACTCATTATGAATTGATTAACGAGGTGTGAGTGTTTATATATTTTTTTCACCATCATGAAACTCATGATAATGAAACAATAACAATTACATGATGAAATAACAACAGAATTTATAACAATAATCAGAGCTAAATGTTGATGATAAACAAAAGGTTTTATTACCTATTGTATTTCATCATAATTATCATCATCTTCATGATAATAAATTCTGTGTGTGAGTATAAAAATTAATCGGAATGAAAGTTCATGTTGAACACACCAAAGAGCTTTAAGATTACTCTGGAAATGAATTTGTGTTGGTAAAGAAACAAAAAGTGTTAAAGGTATAAATGGATGCTGATGATGATGATCAAGATGAAGATGAAGATAATGATGAGGATGATTCATGGTGATGAGAAAACAGTGATTGTTAGTAATTAATTCAGTTTATCATCTTTGCTTATTATTATTTTCTTTTGTTTCATTTTTTTATCTTCTTTCTCCTTGAATATACAATAGATTTTTATTCATTTGATTATCTTTTCTTCAGACTAATATTATTTTGTTTCTATTCATCATTCATCCTTCTCATCATCATCATTTCTCACCCTGAAAGTATCATGATAATACCTTTTGGAACCACAGAAGTGTAAACAGAATAAGAATCAGAATCAGAATAAGAATTAAGAAAATTTCTCTCTCTTATCTTATCTTTTCCTCTTTTGTAAGGTAACCAGGCAATAGGGATGAAGATGATAAAGGTAAAGATGAGGATGGAGATGAGGATGAGGATGAAAAAGAAAGTGTTAAGTTGATTCACTTTCTTTTTTTCCTTTATGGGTAAACACTGTTAACCTTTTCCTCCTTCTTGGATTTAGAGTCTTCCTTTTTAAGCTTTTTATCAGACAAAACCATTTTCTCACCCAAATCTTTATATATATTCAGCAACAATTCAGATTCATGAGATAATGATAATTCCTCATGATGATGAGATTCATTTTCACCTACTTACACCCTTTGGTACAGTTACTTGAACACCTTTTAACTGAGATTATGAGTCCCTTGGTATATTATAATATTCACTGTTTTTAATAGATTCTTTTACCTTTTATCATAATGTTATAACATCTTTGAAATGTTCATTTTCCATGGTGATGAGAATGTGAGAACTTTTTTTTGTTTGAAACTTTCTTCCGGTTCCTTCATATGAGATAATAAAACGATAACCAATTTATTGAAAGAAGATGCAACAGTTACAGAGTTTAACTATTATCTAGTAACAATCATGATCTTTTCACCATGAGGTTAACCTTAATCTCTCCTTTAAGATTTTTCAGAGAATCAGAACTTTTTTTTTATTCCATCACGTGACTAGATTATTTCACCAAAAATACTCAGAATGATGATCATGTAAGAATGAAAGAGATATCAGGATTGAGATAAGAATATGAATCAACTTGAGCAATAGAATTGAAAGAAAAAAAAATCTCGAAAACAATTTGATAACCAATATTTCTTACTATCAATGAATTACTGAATTTTGATATCTCATCATCATGAAACCATGAACCAAACATCAATCCCAGAATATGTTGATCAATATGATGAATGAAAAGATATTATATAAAAGAGAAAGAAACAAATTTTATCCCATGAATGAGTAAAAGAGATAAAAAGTTCTGACAAGTTGAGAATCGCTGAAAGGTAAACAGGTAACAAGAAAGATTCTCATGAAATGTTAAGATTTCAATCTGATTCATGGTGATACTCAGCAGAAATTCAGTATAATAATAATAATAATAGCAGATTAAGGTAATATTTATGAAAATGGAGTAAATGAAAAATTGTGATTTACTCAGTAATCCAGAAATTATCTGATTCTCTGAACCATGTAACATGGTGAGTAACATTATCGTTATTTACTATGCAATTATTACAACAATTCAGTTTTTCCAAAACAAAAACCTCATGTTTATAAATCCTCATGTTTCCTGATTATTATCATGACTTTTATTAGCATCTCTTTTCACTGGTTATGATCAACTTGAGGATTTATCATCATCATCATCATCATAATCATTGATTATCACAATGCTAACAGAATGATAATTAACTGTAATCATAATAATAACATGTTGACTTGTTTATGATCATCATCATCATGATGGTGATGTTTTTTTCACCCACTTCCCACCTTGAATGAAACCAATTCCCTGAGTTTCAATATCTCCTGAATTATATATACAATATAACTTTTAATCATCATCATCATCAAAGTTAATGATGTTTGTCAACAATCAACAAATTGTCCCAACAAAAACAAAATCAGTAAATTGTTTTGTTTTGTATTCAATAAGCAATTAAACCTTGAGGTTGAAACATCTAATTAATATTTTATCGTTTAATTGTTATCATACTCAACTGAGAGATAATTAAATTAAAATCTAATATTTAATTCAAAAGGTAACGAGAAAAAAAAACTTATTATTATTATCATTGTGTTGATTAAATTGTTGTAATAATTTAATGATACAACAACAATGATTAATAATATTATCAATATCAGTTAAATCATTTGGGATTAATTAACAAGTTAGTAAACAAATTAACTGAAAGTTTATTAAACTTTTCTTGATTGATGATAATTAAAAAATTATCATTTTCTTTCATCGTTGTTGATCTTTAATTGTTTCCTTTTAATTGTTAATTGTTGTTCCAGGTTCCAGGATATTCAATCTTAATGGTAACCTTTATATTGTTGGTGTAACTCGAGCGGACACTTATCATTCATTCAAATGCCAGGTCACTAATTCAATTACAAACGAGGTTATAATTAGCAGTTCAAATGGTAAATTAATTGTTACCGGTAAGTCAATTAGTTAATCTAATCAATGGGAGATATTAATAAAAAGGGGAAAATGTTTAATGTTAATAACCAGAAATTAGGGAAATCAATTGATAGGTTTCAACATTTAATTGGTAACAATTAGGATGAACAGTTTACTCTGATTAAGTTGATTATGTTGATTGTATTTCTGGTTAAATTGTTTCCAAATCATTTAACTGATTATACGATATGATAATCAAATGGTCAGTAGTTAACAATAAAGTGATAAGGTCAATATAAAGTAAATGTAATAATAGGAAATATAATAAAAGTAAACACCAAATGATCAACAATCAACCTTAATGATTATGTTAATTTCAATTGATTGTTTTTTTTGTTTCTTTCCATTTTCATGATGATGATAATGTTTTCAGATCCAAATGGTTCAGTTCAACCGAGCATAAGTAACACCCAACGAAGCGTTAAAAGTATCGTTGGAAGTTCAGTTGAATTACCATGTGTAGCTCATGGTTTTCCGATTCCAAGTTATCGTTGGTTTAAAAGGTCACAATTAACGGAGGAAAATGGTTCAACTATAAGTTCCGACATCGGTTCGGATAGTTCATTGGTTATTTCACCTTCATCGCGATTCCAACTAATCTCTGGAACTGGAATATTGATCATCAACAATGTGACCTCAAGTGATTCGGGTCGCTACGTTTGTGTGGCCAATAATAGCGCTGGTGAAGATAGGATTGTATTTGACCTTTCGGTTAAACAACCGTTAACAGTTACCCTTGACCTTATAAGTAATTCAAATGTTGATCATAATCTAAGTGAAGGTAACAACAATTTATCTGGATCATCATCATCAAGGATAACCTTGGGTTCACAGGTTAGATTACATTGTAAGATTACTGGATACCCGGTACATTCAATTGGTTGGTTTCGTGATGGTAAACCTTTAAATCAGGTTAATCAAATGACCACAACTGACCAGCATGGTAATAATAATGGAACCTTATTATCATCATCTTTGATATCATCTTCTGGAAGGATAAAGTTAAATAGTTCATTGAAAATGTTAACCTTGTTTAAAATTGACCGTTCGGACATTGGATGTTACTCATGTTCAGTTACAGGGGATTCTGTTGAATCACCTGTAGGTTCAACTCGGTGTTTAACTTTATCAGAAGATGCACCCCAATTGAAAGAGGTGTTTCCGGAAATGTTTACATCCCCTGGAGATAGAATGTCACTTAAATGTGTTGCCTCAGGCAATCCACTGCCAACAGTTACCTGGACATTAGATGATCAGCCAATACCGGAGACTCATAGGATTCAATATGGCGACTATGTTAGGTAAATAAATTATTTTCTCTCTCTCTCTCTCTCTCTCTCTCTCTCTGAAAATATAATCCATGGCAATTATTTTCTCACCTCTTTTTTTGACCATTTGGGTCAATTTTCAGTATGAATGGAGATGTGGTCAGTTATGTTAACGTGACCAGTTTACGAGGTGAAGATGGTGGATTATACCAATGTGATGCTCATAATGATGCCGGAAGTGTCCATCATTCCCAAATGATTTACCTTAGAGGTAAACCTTACATCCGTCCAATGGTCAATAAGACAGTATTAGCTGGTCAACAGGTTAGGATAAGATGTCCAGTTTCAGGTTATCCGATAACATTAGTGAAATGGTTTAAAGGTAAGAAGAAGCAAATTTAAAAAACATCAATATTGATAAACTTTTAACCGATTCTCCGTCAAGATGACCACGAACTGCCCTTGAATGACCGTCAACGGGTCCATAAAAATGGAACCTTACTAATCAAAGATGCCCGTCGAGATTTAGACGAAGGTTATTATCGGTGTAGAGCGAACAACGATCAAGGGGAATCCGATGAGAAGCGATTCTTTGTTCAAGTACTTCGTAAGTGATTAGAACTTTTTCTCCTCCCTTCTTCCTAGAACTCGAGAAAAAAATCGATTCGAAATTATTTTCATTTCGATTTCATTTTTATCATAATTATATACTCGATCTAATACCGGACTACCAATCATAAACTAATCAAATTATCAAATTGATATGAAGAAATAAAAAACGGAAATTGATGTTTTCATCATCATGATGGATATTATTTCATCAGCAATTATATCAAAATAAACAACATGATGATGATGTTTGAAGAAACTTTTTTTTTCATATTCTCTTTCAATTCTGATTGTCTGATATTGAACTTTCTGACTTTCGTTCACAGGTAAACCGAGTATAAGTTCATTCAGTTTCCCAATTCATTTAACTGAAAACATGAGAGTCATCATAACATGTAATGTATTAACCGGAGATCCACCGATCACAGTTAATTGGTTAAAAGATAATCAAACAATTAACACTTCGACTCTTGATGATGTTCAAGTGACTGAATTAACTGACCTTGGGTCATCCCTTGTTTTCCGTGATGTTAAATCAAAACACGCTGGTTCTTATACTTGTCTGGCTACTAATCAAGTCGGTCAAGATTCACACTCAGCGGAAATGATTGTCAAAGGTAAATATTAACAATTAACAGTTAACAACAACAATTAGATAAATTATTTCACCATTAAAGTTGATCATAATTGTTTTTAATGATAAATCAACTTGTATCATCATTATTTTTATATTAAGTCGATAACAACTTGTTATGATTAATATCATTAGGAACTTTAATTTGATTATAATAAAAACTGTTCCATAGCAATTTAATGAACCATAATAATAAAAAGACAAGATAATTAGATTTAATTCAATTGTTAACTATTACAATTTAATGTGAATCGAGAAGAGTACAAATAGTTTAAAGTGTAATTGCAATAACAATCAGATCTAAATGGTTGTAATGGTTTTCCAGCAAATCGATGAAAATTTTTCTCGAAAACTTTTTTTTCATGTTAACTGATAATGTTCATGAGTATGATGATGATGATTATGATGATGGAAGATAAAGTCTTTCATTTTCTCTTACTTTCTCAGTAAATTGTAGGTTATTTTGAAACAATAATTTAGACATAAGATGATAATGGTTATTGTAACTTGACCCGAACGTAATAATAGTTACATGAAATCGAATAGAAAAAAAGTTCTAATAAAAAAATGAGAAGAGTTCGAACTTTTTGTCCAAATTATTGGTTCATTTTTGACAGTCAATCAAATGATTAGTTAATTTTACATCTTTTCTAATTCAATTATTGTTATGATGATTAAATGGTTACTTTATATCAACAGGAGATTAGATGAGATTTGAAGATTAATTTTAGGAATCAGAATCAATCTCTTATTGGATAATAACATGATAACAATTGCTGGTTATCGTGATGATGATGATAATGATTAGTGATTAGTTGATTCTCAAGTAATCTGTTGGGACAATAAAAACTACTACAACAATCAGAAGCTTAACCCAAACAATCAATTACAATAAATTCAATCAGATGGATAGATTAGTTTGCTATTGTTATTGTAGTTTATTTCAGGTTCAAATGATCATATCATGGTGATTATCATCATGAAACAGACAAAAGAAAAAGTTATGAATGGTCAAGCGACGAAAGTGTCCAGGGTATATGATTTTCATGCTAGGTGGAAATGAATAGAATCAAAATTTTCTTGTTAAGACAATTTTCTCTCTCTCTCTCTCGATTTGTATTATCATCATGAAACAGGGAGAATCTGTGTCATTATCATTATCATCATGATACCTCTTGAAAATGATAAAATAGATTCTGAAACATTGCTCCAAGTTACAACTGTCTTTTGATGATAAAAAATCGTTACTTTTGCAATTCTGGTTAGTTCAAGATGATGAAGATAATGATGATAATGATGAAGATGATGAGGAAGAGCAACTCTCACTCTCGGCATGAGATTCATCAAGGGATTGATATTATTTTTTGATGGAAATATTTTCGCCCCTCTTACTCCAAACAAGAAAAATAGAAAAGTATATTGAGAATATGCTTTTATCTTCATCTTTTATCATCATTGTATCAATGGCTTTTATTATAGTTAAAGTGAGAAGAAGAAAAATCGTAAAAAAAAGTTCTAATCAAAGTTGAAAAAAGTTCTAAAGGATATAATAGAGTTCGAGGACACAAGGTTAAAACTTCCTTGAATTTATCATCAATTTATGATCTTTCAAAGAATTAAGAAATAGAGTGACAGGCTCAATGATCAATAATTAATCTATAAATTGTTACAATTAACCGTTGATTTGATTGGAATTTTTTTCTCTTAATTAAGTGCCACCGAAATGGATTATTGAACCAACGGATAAATCAACAATTGTTGGTGAACGAGTGACATTTAATTGTCAAGCTGATGGTTTCCCGATGCCAATAATTAGGTGGAAAGTATCAACAGGTAACTACAATTAACTTGATTATCGAAAAATGAAATTAAATGAAAAGTGAAAAACAAGCAAAATTAATGTAATTTCAATATTCGAGTGGAAAAAAAGTCATCATTAGTAGTAATCATCTCTATTGGAGTGTAAATACTCAGGGTGAATATTATTTGGGTCATGAGAGGAAAAGGAAACAATTGAAAGACTTATAAGTCTAATGGATTGAGTCTTAATTATTTAAAGAACTTTTCTCTTTCTTTCTTATCATTATCATCTTCCGGAATCCTTTGAAACTTTGCTCCAGTTTCACCCAGAACATGACAACCTGCAACTCGACTGATTCAGTGATCACAATTTAACTCATTGTATTCACTAATTTAGTGTTTACTCAATATCAACAAAAAAATATGAATGAAAAAAAATTTCTCACATCCAAATGATTCATATTGTGAATATGAATCACAATTTGGACTTGACTTCATCATTTTCATCACCATGATGACGATAAGTTTCAGGGATTGTTTTGAAAGTTTATCATGATAATAGTAAAACAATAATAATGATGATGATAATAATAAACAATGAATCAGTTGAGTCTCTCAATTTATCATGAAAAAAATAACAACTAAGATGAAATGGTAACTATGAGAAAGAAAAAGTTCTGAGCAATTCTGAGAGTAAAAGCAAATGAAAAATGAACTTTTTGTTTCGGTTTTTTTATCTTCCTTTTTTCTTACTCCATGTTTATATATATACCCTTGTCTTGATGATGATAATAATGATGAGGATGACAAAAGTCACCCAGTCTTCATGGTATATTTCAGGGGAAATGGGAGTGATCCTTGGGAGTAACTCAGGAAATTGAATTATTATTATTTATGTTTGATAATAAACAGTAAGAGTTAAAAAAGATGACAAACTTTCAGATGATTTCATCCTTATCCTCATCATCATCGCCATGAAATCAATATCACGATATCAACATGAAGATTACAATCAATTTGATGATAAACAATTATCACTTTAGAATAGAAAAATTTATAACAATAAACTTGAATTGGAATATTTTTTTTTTCTTTTCATTTCACCAAATGACATGGTTATCATTTCTTGTGAGAATTAGTTCAATTTGAATATTATCATGAACTCAACTGAATCAATTTTAGCTCAACATAAGTTGAAGATAATGATTAAGTTTCACCAAGATCATGATGAAAATTCAGAGAAATGATTGATTGAATTATCAACTTCAATCAGAATCTCATTCATCGCCAATTTCTATCCTGAGAGTATCATGAAAACTTCCTTTTAATTATTCATAGTCTCGAATAAAAATTCTGAACTTAAAGAAAAAAAGAAAAGTTCTAACCCATTTTAAAACCGATCAAATCGTTTTTTTTTCTTGAACTAATATCATGATAAATGTTTCATATAATAATCATCATGAAGTTTACTATCAAGTGGTTATCATGAACTCAACTGAATCTGATAACAATAATTTCAATCGGAACATAAAAAAATGTACTAACCTATTATTTGGAATCAAAAAGTTACCTTATTATTATCAATGGTCAATAAAGTTCATTGATAATGTTTATCGTTTGAAACAGTTCTAATGGTAATAATAATAACTATACAACTCGAAATCGTTTCGAGTTCAGAACTTTATGATTATCGAGATGAGTGAAAAAGAAAAGTACTCAAATCATTTGGCGAAAAAATTGTTCCACTTCGAAAGAGAAAGAAAAAGTTTCGAGGAAAAATTTTCTGACCAAGAAAATCAAGTGATCATTTCCATTGATTGAGAATATTTTGATTGTTTCAAATTGTGTTGACTGATTCTAATTGTAATTGATTAACTTGATCACACACACACACAGAGTGAAAAACAATCAATCGATATACTTATTATTATGATTGAATGTTATTACTCACGGTGATGATATGATAGTAAATTAAGACAAATTGTTGTTAAATTGTTACCAATGTTTAAGGTTAATCAAGGGTAACACTTTCAGAATGATTAACTTGATTGTTCATCATTAATAATCATATCAAAACGTTAATAATAATATATAATGGGAGGAGTGATTATGGTTATCATTACAATCAAGGTATGGAAAGTAAAAGCAATTTAACTTGTCAGTTGATTATTATGATTGATATAACCAAGAGAATTAGAATTGTAAAACAAAAATAAATTGTTTCAATTAAAAATTAAGATGATAGGCAAGTTAATCATTGCCAGATTGTGGTTAATTGGATTGATTAACAATTAAATAGATGGAATAAAGTTTTGTTGGTAATTAAAAACAAAGTTAATTACTTTGAGAAAAAGTTTTAAAACAAGCAAAACATTTTCTCCCATTAAAAGTAATAACATATTGATTTAGTTAATTGCTAAATTGATGTTGTTATTATTACCATGATGATGATTATTATGATTTAGTTAATGAGAATTGTCAATGAAAGTTAACAGTAATTATATTTGAATATAATGTTCATTGAATCAGAAAACTTTTTCTGTTTATTTGTTGTTACTTTTTGACGTAAACATCACGAATTGATATTACCCTTATTATTATCCAAGGATAAAGGTTCTTAGTCCAATTATTATCATCATCATCATCTCCAATCATGTTGTTGATGAGGATGATTGAGAGAAGACAAATAAGGGATGATGATGAGAGAAAAGTGAATCTGAAGAGAAAAAAAAATCATCTTCAAAAGATCTGAACACTTCTTATACTCCATGAATACATGATGATGATAACACAAGAAGAAGCCTCACCAACCAGGGTAATCTTTGCATGATTATCATCATCATCATGATATTTAGTGAGATGATGAAGGAGAGAAAGTATTATTTAATATAAGGAACAAAAAGGAAGATAGATGAAAATAAGGGAAGATGAGAAATGATGAAGAGCTGGTTCCCTGTTGTTAGCATATTCATGATATAACAAATTGCTTCACTAACATCAACCTTTTTCAACCCTTATCCTCATCATCATCATCATCATCCAGTTTCCATCATCGTCATTTAAAGTCAACCATATTATAATAATATATAACAATTTGTATCAAAGTTTCATGTAACAGGAAGAGAGAATAGGAAAAAAAATTCTGTTAATATTATTCAGAAAAATTCTGGTTCCATGTAACTATTATAGCTTTAAATTGCATATGATTTGTAATAATAAGGATAATGGTGATTATGATGATCAAGATGATAATCTCATGTAGATAAAGGTTATCAACAGGAATCTAATTTAACTTAAATGCTAATAGTATTATTGTTAATAATACTACGAGAGAGAGAAAGAAAGAGATGAGAGATATTATCATCATGGTTATCAACCTGAACTTTTTTTCTCTCTTCATATTCACCTTTACACTGTTGGAGTTTTCAAATTAATGACTCAATGTTATTTACCTTGTTCGATGTTAGTGTTAACTATCATGATAATGATCTTCATCACCATTGTTGAGCATCATAATGAATTGAATTCATCATTAAATTGGTGATTATGATGAAAAGAAACATCTTCAATGTTATTATATTGTATTTCTTTACGGATAAAGATGAGAAGGAGAAAAAAAATTGACCGATTGACCTGAACAGTTTATCGGTAAATATATTTTATAGTACAGGAATTGCAGTTTGTTGTTGATTCTATTTGTGACAATCAATCCAATTGTTGATTAAACATTATTGTAATGGTGTTGATAACGATGACCATGATAATGATGATCCCATTCAAGTGATGATAAGATTTGTCTTCATCTTCCGGGCCAAGAAAAAGATGTTTGATTTTCACTTTGATTCATTTCATCAACGATAATAATAATATTGATCATGAATAACTTTCAGTTATAACAACTATCTTTTTTTACTTCCGTTTCCTTTCTGGATGATGACGATAATGATAATTGTAGAGGGTAAAAGTGACTTTAAATCAGTTTCCAGTAATTATCATATTCAAACTCTAGAAAATGGCTCATTAACCATAAAGGAAGCCGATGTTGCCGATTCAGCTTATTATCTTTGTGAAGCTGAGAACGGGGTTGGGTCAGTATTGTCCAAAGTGGTCTTGTTAACTGTCCATATTCAAGCTCATTTTAAATCAACCTTTCAAGTGATAAGGGTGAAACTTGGTGATCCAGTTAATGTAAGTTGTGAGGCGATTGGTGAGAAACCAATTAACATCAAATGGCTCAAAGAACGGACTGAAATTGATTTCCTAAGTGATAGAAGGTAATATGAGAGACCAATTAACAATCTAAAGAGAGAGAAAAGTAATCTGATTATAATTATAATCTTGTAATTAAATACTTAATACTACAGATATACTGTTAATGAAAAAGAAACACCAACCGGCCTTATATCAAATTTAATTACTCCAATATCCACTCGCTCTGATTCTGGGAGTTTCCTGTGTATCACTTGGAATCCATTTGGTCAAAGTGAGATGACCAGTCGAGTTCTAGTTGAGGAAGCGCCTGACCCACCGTCTGACCTTATTGCCCACGAATTTGGTAGTAAGAGTATTTCTTTACGTTATTCACTTCCTTATTCGGGCAATAGTCCAGTAACCAAATACATCATCCAGTGGAAAAAAGATGGAGGTAAAGTATCACATGAAATATTAACAGAAACATCATGATGATGATAGAAAGGAGAGAATAAAGAAAGAAAAAAAGAAAGAGTGAGTGAGTGAGAGAAGATGAAATATTCTTTTGTAACCCAATCCATCTTCTTCTTCATCATTCCCTTTATCAACGATATTTATATCGTGATATACGAAACTTTTTTCTTCAATTCTCTCTCTCTCTCTCTCACCAATCATCTTGTCTTCCTCTTTTTCATCATCATCTTCAGATTCCATCAGATTTCATTTCTTTATTTTCCATCTTCGCTTTTTTTGCCTAAGTTTCCTTCGCCATGTAGGGTTCCTCTTTTACCGCATCAAGTTTATCTCAGGTTCCAACACGATAACATATACATGATGATGAAGATGAAGATGAAGATGATTACAATAGTAGTTTTTAAGATTTGTGTTCATCTTTTATTATCCGTTAGCCATCCCCTTATCTTCATCATCTTCCAAAGATGATGAACCAACCTTGCTGAACCGAAACTTTTCTTGACTGTATCTTAATCTTCCTCTTTCATCTTCGTCTTTTTTTCTTCATCTCCTTCTGTCCAACAATCTGTCTTCTCCATCTTTCATCATTGCCATCTTCTTCCTGTTTCTTTTTCTCTTTCTTCTTTTTTCATCTTCTCTTCATCAGAGTTATATATATATCTCTCCCTCCGCCTCCTCGTCATTATGATTATCATCCTTGTCTTCCTTGTCACGGCCTTTGTGTGACCCTTTAACATGCCAATGTCAAGTTATCTATGTGACAAGAAAAAAAAACGATACAACATCAATAATATTAATAAACATTATGAAACCATTATCATCACATTGATGGAAATGATAAGTTACCAATTTAAGAAGTGAATTCCCAATTTTCCAACTATCAATATCATCTTTTCTTGAGCTATTATTACATTTGAAATTAAATGATAAGTTTACAATCAAAAAGTAGAACAATTAATTGCTCTCGAGAAAGGAAGGACATTTAATAATCTCAAGGAATTAGTTTCCGTTGAAATTTTCTCATTCTCCTCAATTTCCTATTGGAAAGATATTAGTTTTCACTCCATTTGATGAAACTTTTCTTCCTTGGCCCTTTTCATGAAATCCCCATGATAAGAAATGACTTTTTTCACATCAGAACTTTTCCTTTCCGTAGTATCACCATCATCAGTAGAGTGAGAATCTGAAAAAACAACAAAAAAGAAGGACAGAAAAAAACATATGAGAAAAGAGGGAATTAAAATTATCAGAATTAAGCTTGAATCAAGTAAAATTGGTTGAATTATATCATGAAATCATGATGAATCAGCAGAACTCTGAAAATATAACCACACAAACAAAAAAGGAACCACATAATTTCAAGAGTAACAAGTAAAAAGGTAAATACATTTTGTATCAAAATGTTATTAATCTTTGGGAGTGAATGTGGGAGGAGGAAAAAAACTCCCACTCTTTAAAAATTATTGTAACATTGATTGTTGATCTAATATTGAACAATCAATTTGACAACAATCAACGATAACATGAATCAAATACATAAAACTAACATTGATTGTTGTCACATGTTAATTGTTATTCTTAAATCCATTGAATTGTTTTCATTTTCCATTTCAAGGCATTTCCTCTTTTTTTCCAATTCCAAATCATCATAATTCTGAGTGTTGCATCAACCTTGATTGTCGCCATTTAACCTGAGAAAAGGTGATTTCCTGAAGATAGAAAAAGAAACAAAATTGAGAGAGAGAGAGAGAGAAAGTTACATGGGTATTCAATATACAGAGAAATAGATGAGAAAAAAATCTCTATAATATTTTGGATAATATTTCATACGCATCAATCATCGCATTTTGTTTGCCCTATCAACTTATATATTTTTCCTTTTTGATCCTCAATAAGAATCATCATCATCTTTCTCTCTTTCATCTAATCATTATCATCATCATCATTGAAGGTATCACCCTTGAAGTTTTATCTTTATCTTCATCATCTCTTGACTTTCCCTTTCTGTATGAATTAAGGCAATTTCTGGATCAATGAGTAAATCTGAAGCTCACAAGTTTCATCTTTTCATCATCATCATCATCGTCATCTTCCTCTCTCTCTCTCTCTCTCGTTCACGGCTGTGAAATGGGCCACAAGTGAAACTATTTCAGTAGAATGTGTATTATATGCACAATTTTTCATCTTCTCATCTCGTCTTCCTTGTCATCTTCAATTCTCGCTACAATTCACCAAGACGTTTTTTTTCAAAATTATCTTCCAAAATTTCTCTCTCTCTCTCTCTCTTCCATCCATTACAAAACTTCAGAATCTCATGCTCGTTTTAAACAGTATCCATACAATACATTAATACGTTGTTACATATTATGTATATTCTTGTAGATATTTGATATTACATTTTTCCCTCTTTCATCTTCTACTATCTTCACTTATTCACTATTCTTTTCCCTCTCTTTTTTCTCATCATCTTCGTCTTGATTGTTCCCCCTTTCATTTTCTTACATTATAAGTCTCTTCAATACTCTACACAATCTTTGCCATGTATTTAAACGTTAATTGAAAGCTAATCAATCACTCAACCTGATTTTTTTTTCTCCTCATTCTTTTTCATCTTTCTACGTTAACTTGTCTATTCACTTTGTAGTAAAATGACTTAATTATTTACAGAAAGAGAAAGAGAGAGAGAGAGAGAGAGAGAGAGAGAGAGAGAGAGAGAGAGAGAAGAGAATGAGAATGAGGTATAGCTATTATGTGACTACATGATATGAAATTAGAAAAATTTGACTTACATAATAGATTGTCGTTAGATGATGAGGATGATGAGAAAAAGAAAGAGAATCTTTTCCAGATAATGAAGATGAAATTTACGAATTAAAATGTCTCATCCTAATTAACATAGAAATTCATTTTCGTTTGATTTTTATGTATGGTTTTTGTATATTCTTCCTTTGGTTTAATGTCCTTTCGACTTTTCCTCCTTTTCTTTATCTTTTCCTCTGGATATGAGATGGAATTGATATTAATCAGAGTAACATCCATCATCTTAAGCTTCCGTTCAAGTGGTCAGATTGAAAGTGAAAGAAAGAGAAAGATGATAAGAAGGATGATGAAAATTCAGATTATTATTGAACAGGATAAACAGGGAATGTTATCTTTTTCATCGTTCTTTCCCTGAAATAGGATTTACTGTGTATGTGTCCATTTGAAATATATCATAACTTGATTGGCGATAAATTGTCAGAATTTTCTGCTGTATCAATTGATTCCTTTCTTTCCTGTCAAACTTTATACCTTCTTCTTAATGAATCAGCAATTTAATATTGACTAATGATGAAAGTAATGATGGTGATTATTATTATTATTATAATTCTAATGATGGATTTTACTTTTTTCCTCTCCCTGTAACTCCAACAGGTACTTGGTCAACAGCAGCATCAACAACTGAAATTGATGGAACCGCGTCTCAGGTTTTAATTAATGACCTTAAACCATTAACTAATTATGACATTAGGATGTTTGCCGTTAATATGATTGGTAAAAGTGAACCAAGTAAAATAATAACGATAACAACAGATGAAGAAGGTAATCCAAAATATTTCGTAACAATGTAGACAATCAGTTGATCATTGGTGGTTAATTAATATCTAATTGTTCAATTTTCTCATTTAATCAGCACCATCAACCAGTCCAGGATCTGTAAGAGCAGAAGCAATTAGTTCAACGTCTATTTTGATTAAATGGAAGGTGATTATTGTTACCATACCTTAGATTATGTTGTTAACTTGATTGGTATTAACTCAATTTGCAATCAAATTATTGTTTTCTTGTCCATTTTAAATTAGCCACCGAAACACATTGAATCATTTGGCTCAATCACTGGTTATTATATTGGCTACAAAGAGTTGAACTCGGAAAAAGCGTTAATTTTCAAAACGGTTGATAATAAATCCAATTCAAAGCTTCAAATGGCGATTAACAATTTACGTAAATCAACCTCCTATATTTTCACCGTTCAAGCTTTCAATTCCAAAGGTGCTGGACCACAATCACCCGAAATTGTGGCGAAGACACTGGAAAAGGATCCACCCTTGTCACCTAAATTGTGGATCGCAAGTGTAACTGCATCAACGGTATCGATTAGCTGGTCACTTCCAATGGAATCAGAAACATCAATAGGTAGGAAAATTTTTTAATTCTCCTTCGGTAGTAAATGTTAATCTGTGTAATTCAATTAAGAGTAAATGGAAGATGAGAGAGAGAGAGAAAACCAATTAAATATATAGACTTTTATATCTAAGAAAATAAAACATAAAATAATTAGATTAAGGATTAAGAATGAAACTGAAACTCACCCAAATTAAATAAATAGATTAAGTAAATGACCAGTCAATTAACACCATGTGAACAAGTAGATAATTTACCTTGATTAATTTTTAAATTGATGAGCAAAATTTATTCACTCAATTAACAGTAAATTAATCAACCAACAAAAGAAAAACAATAAACGGTTAAGAGATAGAGAGAAAAAGATTAACAATAACAAAATGGAATTGGAAAACAAACACTAATCCCATTTAAGATTTTAAAAAGAAAACACTTAACCAGTGGGGAGAACGAAGAGATAATCCAATTTCCAAATCTGATTAATTAAATAGATAAAATTAGTTGATTAAGAGAAAAAACAATAACAGTATTAATTATCTGTTTTCAAATTTCAAATACATTTACATGTATCAATTTAGGTTTGGTCACATTGAGCAAAAAGTAACGTTGCCAATGCTTTTCAATGGTTTTGTAGTCAATTTAAATTTTATTCAATTTCACTTTTCTCTTACCTTTTAGATGATTTTCTATTATTTTTGTGGTCCTGAGAACCTCAATAATAATAATATTAACGAATTAATTTGTTTTCACATTCAAAATATTCAAAAACTGAGAACTCAAAGTGAATAAAACCAAAAAAACGATTTTTTCTCATTAGGGGTTGGGTATTAATTATGGATCGAAAATTGAAAATGAAGAAAAAGATTAGTTGACTTTAATTTGTTGGATTAGTGAGTAGACACAATTAAAATGGATTAGTGAACACAGTTAGTTGTTAATCGTTTTTTTTCTCTTCGTTAATTGTTGACGAATCAAAAAAATAGCGATTATGAGGATTGGTCATTAAGTGACGTTCACTGAACATGTTAACCCTTTTGATTGTAAAATCGTCCACAAATTTTGGATCAATAAACTTTTGGATCAAAACAAATTAATGAGTTGACACTTTGTTGTTGTTTCTGTTTAATTGATTCTTAATTAGTGTTAATTATCTTGTAATTTTTTGTCTTCTTCTCTTTAAATAGTTTCAACTGGTCAATTCTATTTATAAATTGTGAGAAAATTGTAATTAGTCTTGTTCTTCTACTTGATGATTAAAAACAAAATGGTCATTCTATTTGAATGGATAAGAAAAATATTCTTTTGCTATATTTTAAAGAGAAGAGAATTTAATTTTTTTTCTTTTCTTTTTTCAAGGATAATGTATTTATTTTATTCTTTTACTAAGAATAGAATTTGATCTTCTTCCCTTTTGGTTTACATGTGAAATTGAATAGAAGTTAATATGTTGAAAGTTTAAAGAAGATCAATGAAATTGAAATGGAACAACATTGAATAAAAATCAAGTCAAGTGAATATTATATTACATTCAATGGTTCCAATGGTAATAATGTTTACCAGAATATCTTGTTGGGCCTTAGAATTGTGATAATACATGTGATAAAAAGTGTTTATTTCTCATCCATTTTCTTATTCTTTTTTTTTATTCTTCTCCATTCAGGATTCAAAGTGTTCCTACGACAAAGTTCTAGCGATTTTAAAACTCACGAGACTCTGGAGGACGGAAAATTGACCTCACACATTATAAGGTCACTTCATTGTGGAACCAAATATACAATTTATATGATCTCATTCAATGAAATTGGTGAAAGTGAACCAAGTGAAGCTTTATCATTCCAAACTGAAGGAGGAGGTAAGAATATCTCTCATCTCTCCCATTTCCATGTTACCAAATTGCCAACCGAAAATTTCAATTCAATTCAATGTGAATAACTTTGAGAAAATTCAACAGAATTAAATTGAAACAATCAAATTGAAATATATTACATGGACCATATCCAGAGAGAGTCTTAACATTATCAACTTGTTAATGATAATATATTTCATTTGTCTGTTTATACATGAGAATCTGATGATAATAATGATGATGTGAATGATAATCATCATCATCATCATTACCAAGATATATTAATACATATACAAACCATTAAAAACATTGGTTAAGATGAAAAATTCATCTCTCAATGAATTTTTTTTCTCTCACCATAAATTCAATCTACAACTTTACACCCCAACAAATCAACTAATATTTAATAATTTGTTTCCATTCAATTTAAGTTGATTAATAGTTGTATGTGTAACCATTTAACATGAAAATTTACAGGTTTATCATCAGTGATGATGATAATATTTTAAGATTGTTCTTGGATACATACAGATGATAAATAGATATATATTTTTTTCACTCCCTCAATGAAAAAAGGAGTAAGTTACCAAGGGATGAAAACTTTGATCGTTGTTGTTGTTGACATTTGAAACGATTCCAAGGCAAATTATTAATAATATTTTTCTCCATCAATGGTTATTAATCAAACTGTGATTCAACATAACACAAGAGATTCAAAGAAAAACAAAATGATTCTGACTATTTGTAATCATTTACAATGAGAGAGAAATGTAGATATTCAATACTTATCATTATTGAATCAAAATTCTGGGTAAAGTTGTTTAGCTTAATCATATTGATGAAGATAATGATGATGTTACATGATGATGAATATTATTGGGAAGAGAGAGAGAGAGAGAAAAATTGGCAAAAGTATCAAGTAACATTGTGATTGAATTAATTGCTAGTTTATAAGTTGATTCCCTGTTTATCCTCATCCTTTATTTTTCATCTTCTCAATCTGATATATTTAATGATATGATTAAAACAGTAATTGTATCTTATTTCATTGACAGAAAACTTTCATTTGATTGTGTTATTAAAGGTTTTCTCATCAAATTAACACATAATCTTAATTGTGATGGTGATTAAATTGCATATTACAATCTAATGTTGCACATGATCAAATATCAAATCAACTACTATTTGATTACAATCAAATACATTGATTACTATTAAATAGTTGATTGTAATGGGTTGATTAATGGTAACACTAATTCATTTTGATAATATTAATAATAATCATAAATGTTGTAAATTAGAATCATAATTCAATTGAATTGATTTACTTTTTGTCTTCCTTTAAATTGCCCCAATCATATTGAATTAACTAAACTATTATTTCAACATTGTTGTCATTAGTTAATCAATCAGAATCCTTGATAATATAACAATCTGATTGAATGAAACTTACCCTCAGGCTATGCTATTATTATCTTATGATGAAATGCTGATAAATTTTGATATTATCATCATGTTATTATCATGATTATTATTTACTAACTTGTATTAGTTAATTTTATCTAATCAAAGATTACATTGATATCGTTAATTATCATGGGAACATGATAATAATTTTCTTAGTTAATAAGCTTAATTTCAAATGTATTTAATAGTAAATAGTTACGATGTTGGAATAAGTAAAAAAAAAATATATCGAAATGATTAATTCTGATTAAATCGTAATCTTCATTGAACATTTAATCTTCTAGCCAGTTCTGTATCATTAGCAGAATCAAAGATTAAACTAATCATATTGATAAAAAATCATTTATATTAATTATTTAATCATTAAGAAAACAACAAATTAACAAATACGGTTATTGATCTGATTATAACCATTGGATGATTAGTTTTATATTTAATCAGATGATTAAGATAATTATTTAAAAGATAATATTATTTTCTTATTTGAAAACTCAATTTACTCCCTGATTCAATTCTGTTTGTTAATCAACAATCAAAACTTTGCCTCCAGTTAATCAAGAAAAATAAAATCTTCAAGAGTTTCAATGATAATCTTTGATAATTAGCCAATCTTATTATCTTAATTAACTAAAAACTAAATATATATTTTCATCATTAACGAGAAGATTAATTGTTTACAATTGCAATTGTATCAAAATAAATGTAATGATAATTTTTAAGGACAATTGATTAAGCCAATTGTAGCTTAATTTTGTTTTGTTTTTTTTTGTTTCGTTTATTTGGTTGATTATTGTGATGGGTTGACCAACAAGCTTGACCATTAATTATTGTCTATTATATTATAGATTGATATATAAGCTTTTCCATCCTCATCCTTATTTATTGGTCACTCTTGTTTATTATCATGATCTTCTTGATTTCTCCTCTAGGATCAATTAGGTTTAAAGCTTTTTCCTTACCCCCATTAATGGTGATTGGTTACAATTAAAATTAATATTAGATTAACTCTGATTTTTTCTCATCATCTTTTGTTTTATCTTTTTCTACTCTCTCTCTCTCTCTCTCTCTCTCTCTCTCTCTCTATTTTAGCTCCCATTGCTCCAGATAAAAGTTCATTGCTCCACATCAATTCAACATTCATCTTACTTCAATTGTCTTCATGGCGAACCACTTCCTGTCCTATCAACAATTTCATCGTCCAATACAAAGAGCAGGGTAACGTTGAATGGATCCTTGTCTCGAATACAATTTCATCAGTTTCAGATCAGTTCCTCGTTTCCGGTTTACATGCAGCCACTTGGTATAATTTACTTATTGCTGCTCAAAGTGATGCAGGATCAACGGAAGCAGAATATTTTTTTGCCACTCTAACGGAACAAGGAGGTAATCATTATTATCTAATCATCATGATGATAATTATATCACCCTAATAATCAACAATTCTCAACATTGTCACACAATTATCTTTATCCATCATCAGTTGGATTATTATGATTATCCAAGGTTAAAGATTCATAATCGATATCATCTTAGTCTATTGATGTTTTTTAATTGAGTTTGTAGTAATAGTTTTCATTTGATTTTCCCTCTTCTCTCTATGCACCTTAATCATCACGATGATGATCAAATCTAATTCAGATTCTAATTTGAGTAATCGTAATAATCTTTCAATCAAGTTATCTATTCAATCTAATCTTTATATCTCTCTATTATATTATATTCGGTCAGAATTTTATCTCTTCTTCTCGAAAATCTAATAGGTCATTAGTTGACATTATTTTCTCTCCCTATCAACTAAATAACACTCGACATTTCATTCAATATATTCATTCATTCAATTCTATTCTTTCATGTTATTCTATCTCTTTTTTCTTTATCATCATCATCATCATTTTCATTCCTTATAATCAATTGATCGTTGTGAATGTTATGAATGCAGAATCTTGAACGTTAGACTTTTTTTTCTGCTGCTTCCATTGGTTTCCTTTTCTTGGACCCAATTGATTGATTAAATTGTCTTTATCTTCATCTTTGTCTCATTCTTATATTTGTTTTCTTCATCCCTTTTCATCATCTTCTCCCTTTTTTCTTCTTTAACTTTATCATCTTTATACTCTCTCTCTTTCTCGTCCTTTTAAATTATCTGTGAATAACCATAGGAAATGTTCATAGGCACTTAATCAAATGATCTTTTTGGATCGATTCTATTCATAATTAAGAGTGACACATATACACTGTTTGTTTATATTCACAAGATAAACTTTCACCCATTTAAACTAATTCATGTGATTGTATCTCTTTGACATAACATAGGAACCATTTCACCAATGTCCGTATCCTCGAACCCTGATGAACATCGTTTACGACGTTATGTCCAAATGGTCTTACCAGTGACCACCGTTTTTATATCGTTACTTGTTGTCGTTATATTTATACTTTTCTTTGGATTTAGAAAAAATCGTAACATGTCAACGGTAAATAATTTAAGTGAGTAATTCTAAACATTAATAGTACTTTTATTAGTCTAAGCAACAATTTAGCCTTAAGGCTTTGATTGTGAAATTTGTTTTTCTACTTTTGTATTTTAATTCTGAATTTCATATTTCTCTTTCTCTCATCTTAATCAATTTTAGATGATCAAGTGTCACCAAAGGCTGCAGATAATATTTCAATGTCTTCCACCAAAGTCGTTTATGAAACTGTCCAAAGAGATGAACGAACCAGCGTTTACTGTCCATCTCCTTATGCAACAACTCGAGTCTCACTTTATTTTCAAGATAATCCAATGAAACTACAAACAAATGAAAACTCATATGATATGCCTTTACTCAAGGTATTCTGTTTATCCGATCATCCTTTTCATCATCCTCATCCTTTTCCACCCACATAAAACCTTTCAACTCGAGACTAAAAGTTCATTTTTTTTTACTTGCTAAAATCAAGATATCATCTTGTTATCTTCCGATCTCTCTCATGGATAACACAATCCCAGTGACTTTTGATACACAATTACATTACTTTCTCAGTATATCAACTTAATCTATACTCGATTCTGTCATTTCAGTTCAGCTCAGTTCTGTTTTATCTGCTTCTATTTTCATCTCTCATTTTTTTATTCCAATCTTTGTCTCCATCCTTTTTTCATATCCAACTCAATTAGGCTTGTTAATTGTTTGACATGATTAATCAAAGGAGGATAGCCAAAATGTGGGATTTTTTGCTGAACTTTTCCGAATTTTTCGAAATAGGTATCAATCGAAAGCTCTCGGTGAGCTGAGTTGAACGGTCTGATCAGAATAAAAAAATTATTTTTCCCTTGGGAATTAAATGTAACTTTTTTGGGACACCATGATGCACCGATCGGACCCAATTTTTTAGATGTAACTTTTTATGACGAGTTCAACGATGTACTCAGTTTAGTTATAGACCCCCGCGTTTTTGAATTATAACCGTTTTTTTGATATTTTTCATGGAAACAAACTAAACTTAGCGGTGGCATTCCTTTGGGACCATATGATGCACCGATCAGACCTTATTTTTCTAGACCTACTTTTTATGGCCAACTCAAATATACCAATAACTTTTCTCTCGACCCCCGCGTTTTTGAGAAATTCTGGTTTTTCAGTATTTTCCACGGAAACAAACTAAACTTAGCGGTGGCATTCCTTTGGGACCATATGATGCACCGATCAGACCTTATTTTTCTAGACCTACTTTTTACAAGCTATCTGATAACGTGAAAAGATACGCCATAACCTCGCGCGTTTTCATGTTATTGTTATCATTATCTTATTATATGATATTATGTATATAAATAGCGAAAACCCAGAATTACTCAAAAACGCGGGGGTCGAGAGAAAAGTTATTGGTATATTTGAGTTGGCCATAAAAAGTAGGTCTAGAAAAATAAGGTCTGATCGGTGCATCATATGGTCCCAAAGGAATGCCACCGCTAAGTTTAGTTTGTTTCCATGAAAAATATCAAAAAAACGGTTATAATTCAAAAACGCGGGGGTCTATAACTAAACTGAGTACATCGTTGAACTCGTCATAAAAAGTTACATCTAAAAAATTGGGTCCGATCGGTGCATCATGGTGTCCCAAAAAAGTTACATTTAATTCCCAAGGGAAAAATAATTTTTTTATTCTGATCAGACCGTTCAACTCAGCTCACCGAGAGCTTTCGATTGATACCTATTTTAAAAAATTCGGATTAATAGGCAATTTTGGCTATCATCCTTTGTCTTTTCTTTTCTTTTCTTTCACAGAATCATCCAAATAACCGATCTCTCTATGAATATCAAGGTACAACTAGTGGATCTTGTGAGAATAGTAATTTACTTGATATTAATCATGAGCCGATATTTTCAAGATGACACTAACATGATAATCATCATCATTATCCGGATTAACATTTAATTATCTAATGATAATAATACTGAAAAGTTTGGTAACAGTAAACATGGATTAATTGTTTGGAAAGGATTGGACAAAAAATCAACTTTTAAAGGTTTAATTTAACGTGGAACCAAAACTTGACGATTAAACCATGGAAAGAGCTTAAATCAACATTTGATTGGTTTGACAATTAAAATCGCTTTGATTTAAATGGTTCATGATTTCTTTGATTTAAGCGACAATTTTTGTCGAAATAATCTTTCCCAAAGAAAAAATTGATGACCATTTAATTCACAAATTGATTGTTTGATAATTTAATTTCGATATCAAAGGAGCAAGAAACTAACTCGGTTCATCTTAAAGCAATAGCAATGAGCGAATCAATTTAATTGGAAATTGTTTATCAATCGATTGTATTGATAATTTTAATTACGATACATTTATGTGCCTTTTAATTTGAATCCATTTATTTTCATTTCCAATTGAATTGTTTTTTTTTTCTTGTTTTCGCAATAAAATGTAAATAAATTGTTCACTCGCAATTATAATTGTAAAGAAAATCATTTCTATTGTAAATAAACATCGAAATCGTAACCATTTCATCTGATCGATCATTTGGTCAATCAATTAATTTATTTCGTGGAATTAATTTCACTTTTATTTTCTCTTTATTAACAAGAGAAATTACTGATTTTCGATCATTAACTTGGACAATTTGTTGTGAAGATTTTTTTAAAGAAATTTATTATTTTCTTGGATAATTAAACAAGAGAAAGTAACAATTTAGCTCTTTTAACTTGTTCTTCCTACCTTTAACCACTGAACTTGAATTCAACATGGTTAAATTGGAAAAGTTTCATTGATTTAACAATTGCTGGAAATTCAAATAATACTTGACTAGTGAAGGATTTCTGATTAGTTTAATCTTCACTTTTTGTTGTTTCTTTGTGTGAGTTGATGTCCCTTTGTTTTTCTCAATCATTTGTGTAGAACTGGTTTCCTTTTTTAACGTTCCGATTAATAATGATGAGAAAAGGTTAATAATATAATAATTGGCGAAAATATAATATAATAAAGAAGAAATAAAAAGATGATGGAATGTGAGACCAACACTAAGACCAATTTTTGGATATGATTGTTTGAGTTAAACTGTTCACTTGTGGTCCAATCAATGGATTCATTTGAGCCATGTAAGTGAACAGCCAAGTTGAATAACAAGCGACCGCAGTGATTATCAACATGGTCTGAATTACTCCTCTGTCTGATGATCGAGGGACAAACATCGGCAAAACACCTCCAACTGCTCCCCAGAAAGCAGTGAAAATGATGATAACAGGAATGGAAGCAGGCATAACTATAATAACGAAAATAGTAATAATATATCCAATAAACACCACAGAACCACTTTGTCAACAATCAGAAAAAGGGACAAATCTAAACAAAATTCACAAAACATAAGGAAAGAGAAAAATTTTAAACACAATTAGTTTAAAGATTCAAGCAAATAGATAATCAGATTTAACAATAGATGGACATCTAATTAACATGTAATGATAAGACTCACCTTAGAAAAATAGACAACAATTAAAACTTAACAATTTAATTGTGACAATAACCTTGTCAATGGAAAACAATCAAAGCCTTTGATTCAAAGGCCTAATGATTATCAAAGAAAGAGATTCCGTTTCCATGGTTACGTGTTGACCGCGATTTTTGAGTGAATTAAATTAACAATTTTTTCGTTGGTTATAATTTAACCAACTTTAATTTTAATTAATATTCATCATCACAAACTAATTTAATTTCTTGATATAATTGTAATTAGTTATTCAATTCAGGAGTAAATTTTATTAACAAATTTTGTTTTCTAAATTCCTCTCCTGTGCCGTCATCTGTTGGAATAGAAAGTTAATGGTAAACAAATTTTCTCTATTTCATTTAACTCTCATCTTTGCTTTTGATTCTAATTGTTGCAAGTTTATTTTCTTCTGGAGATGACGATCCCCGAATCCATTTTCTTTCCTCAACAAGAGCGTTTGGAATCGGATTGTTAATTGTTGTGATTATCTTTTTTCGTAATTTTCAGTGCTTCTAATTTAATGAGAATCACGGGAATTCAAGATAATCTTATTGCTTTATTTGAATGAATGAAAAGAACAATTTGATCTACCCGATGCTAGAATGTTATTGGAAGAAATTAGAATCTAAGGTAAATTAGATCAAAAAGTTGATTTTTCATTTTCATCATTTTTTTCTAATTCTAAATTGTTGCTCCCACAGTTTATTATGAGAAATTGATTTAGAGGGAGAAAATACAACTAAAAAAGAAAAGCAATTGATGATCCCAGAAGATTTTAATTACTTTGACAATCCACTTCGATTACCTAATGAGTCGCGTGAATTATTATCTAAACAAATACCAACATCGGTAAGCTAATTGTAACAATTGTAGCAAAATCATTGGATTGTCGATAGAATAAAAAAGTTTCTTCAGATTGAATTTAACATGGGAGTCTATGGACAATGACGGGTTTTGGCCTGGTACCCACCCAAAAACTATTCAGGACAATGTCATGGAAACTCAGTTACATGTTTTCCTTTTAGTTATAAACAATATAAAATAATGATTTTTTTAAATTTTTCTATAGTCTCTGAGTACCAGGCTAAAACCCGTCATTGTCCATAGACTCCCATGTTAAATTCAATCTGAAGAAACTTTTTTATTTCTTGTCCGATTTTGATCAAAAGGGTCTTAAATTGATTGTAATAGCATAATTAATCAATTTGTTTAACAATCAAATCAAAAGAAAACCTCTATTAATTATGGTCGAGGTGTACAAAAAATTTTATCCAATTCTTTTTTCTCGATTTTCAGAAAATCCTATTACTTAATTCCTGGCCGAATTTTTATTAATTAAACTTTTTCATTCTTATCTAAATGACTATTTAAAACAAAAAAGTAAAATCAAAAAGGTCTTTCTTTTCATTTATAATCAAAAAACTAGTGTACGAAAAATTTTGTCACCCACTATATTTCATCATGAAATTTTCATGATATTGGAATCAGTTCAGTAGAAAACTCACATTTTTGGTTACCCTCCTTTATTGTTTATTTTACGAGCGATTTGAGAGACTTTTGATTGAAATCAGATGAAAAGAAATTATTTACAGTGTTTTCCATTTGAATTCACCTTCTTTTGCTTATGAAAAAATATGATTTGCAAAAGAATTGACATCCCTTGGGAGATTAAGAGATTAGCCTTTCAACTTTCGCATTCGAGTTAACATGTTTCTCATTTCGGAAAACGAGATTTGCAGTCGAAATGACCTTTCCTCGTTTTGTCTTTGTAGAGCTCAAGTTAAAATTAATTTTTTTACAGTAAATTTCAGTTTTTCTAATAAATCTAAATTAATTAAATCATAGAAACTGAATTCCAATAATTATTTCAAATTTTTTCATAAAAACTGAAATTTACTGTAAAAAAATTAATTTTAACTTGAGCTCTACAAAGACAAAACGAGGAAAGGTCATTTCGACTGCAAACCTCGTTTTCCGAAATGAGAAACATGTTAACTCGAATGCGAAAGTTGAAAGGCTAATCTCTTAATCTCCCAAGGGATGTCAATTCTTTTGCAAATCATATTTTTTCAATAGCAAAAGAAGGTGAATTCAAATGGAAAACACTGTAATAAAGAAAGAGATTGAGCCATACATATATTTTATAGAATCTTCTTAGTTGCGACTTAATTTTGTCTTGAAAATTTCGCTCATCACTTGGATAAAATTGCCAGATTAATACAACGAATATGAATGTAAACCAAGAAAAGAAAATCAATTGATTGACCAAATAAACGATCAGATGAAATGGTTACGATTTTGATGTTTATTCGCAATAGAAATACTTTTCTTTATTGATATTTATACAATTATAATTGTGAGTGAACAATTTATTCATATTGTAGTAAGAAAAAAAGGAAAAAAAATGTAGATAAATTTCCCTTTGAGAATTGTTTTCACGAAAATTGTTTTTTAAATAAAAGAAAATCATGAACCATTTACTGCGTGACCAATAATAACTTATTTTTTTAAATACCCTGTAACTTCTTTAACTCTGATTCAAACTTAACAATTCAGTAAAGAATCAAACACTAGACTTGCAAGTTAAATATCCATTCTTACAAAATGATTTTCAATCTACAGGGTGAGTGCCTCAAGGCTACAAACGCGGCCAGCGAATAATATTTGATAGTTAAAATCCTACAAAAAAAAACCTGAAATTTACGAAAATTAAGCATTTAATTAGTTGATAGCTAATTTTCTTGGGAAGTTATGCAAAAAATTGAGATCAATAACGAAAGGTATTTCTATTTAGCATACGAAAAATTTTGTCATCCACCATAGGTACCGATCAAAAGCTATTGGTAAGTTGAGGCGAACAGTCGGATCAGAATAAAAAAGTTCTTTTTCTCTTGGAAATTGAAAACAACCTCTACAGGACACCATGATGCTCATGATCAGAACAGCTTTAATAACGAGTTCAGGGAAGGGAAATTACAATAAGTTCAAATTACAAATAATTAGGTGTGGACGATTGTTGCACTTGTAAATTAGATCAACTTAACAATAGTTCGCTAAGACCCTCAGAATTGCAGGGTGTTAAATATCAATAGGTTGAGAGGGAAATGGAGATAACATCCAAAAATGGTTTAATCGATAGGAATGAGATGTAAGAACCATAAAATTAGAATTTCTATTTAAACTAACTCGCATTAAGCGGTCCACCACCAGCACTACCACCGGTCAATCCACCAAGACCACGATCACCAAGATCACCATTACCACCATCACCACCGGTCAATCCACCAGGACCATCGGTGAATCCACCAGGACCACCACCACCAAGACCATCGGTCAATCCACCAGGACCACCACCACCAAGACCATCGGTCAATCCACCAGGACCACCACCACCAGGACCACCGGTCAATCCACCAGGACCACCACCACCAAGACCATCGGTCAATCCACCAGGACCACCACCACCAGGACCACCGGTCAATCCACCAGGACCACCACCACCAAGACCACCGATCAATCCACCAGGACCACCACCACCAAGACCACCGATCAATCCACCAAGACCACCACCAACACCGGCCAATGCACCAAGATCACCATTATCACCACCACCACCGGTCAATCCACCAGGACCACCACCACCAAGACCATCGGTCAATCCACCAGGACCACCACCACCAGGACCACCGGTCAATCCACCAGGACCACCACCACCAAGACCACCGATCAATCCACCAAGACCACCACCAACACCAGCCAATGCACCAAGATCACCATTATCACCACCACCACCGGTCAATCCACCAGGACCACCACCACCAAGACCATCGGTCAATCCACCAGGACCACCACCACCAGGACCACCGGTCAATCCACCAGGACCACCACCACCAAGACCACCGATCAATCCACCAGGACCACCACCACCAAGACCACCGATCAATCCACCAAGACCACCACCAACACCGATCAATCCACCAAGACCACCAACACCAGGACCATCGGTCAATCTACGAGGACCACCACCACCAAGACCACCGATCAATCCACCAAGACCACCATCAACACCACCACCGGTCAATCCACCATGAGAATTCTGGCAGGATATAGATGACAAAAGCCCCATAAAAATGATGATTAACAAGAAAGAAATAAAATTCATACGAAGATTGCTATCCATGATTTTTTTATTGAACAATTTAAATTTTGACTATTGGAAGTTACTTGTCACTAATTCAGTTGGAAATTATATTATTATCTTCACATCGAAAGGTTTTCCTTTTATACAACTTTCTCCCAATTTAAATTTTTTGTTTTCGTCTCGATAAAGTCTCCTGAATAAACTCAACCCAAAATTCATCTACGTAGATGTAAATTGATAAGTCAATAGCAAACTAAACCCTCAAAAGTATACAGGGTGTTTTTATTTGTACTCCCGACGTTTGAATTGCCATAGTTTTCAACGAATGATTTCAGAGACTCGACTTCAATAGCGAGCTAATCGTGAGTTTAAATCGCAAAATCTAAAAGCAATTTTTACATTGTTTTCTATAGTCAGATTAAACTCGATAACGTTTTTTATCCTCGCAAAATGAAGGGCAAGTTTTAAAATGACTTTTACCTTTCCTCTAAAGCCACAGCTTCATAACCTCTTAACTTTCCTTTGAGATTACTTCACAAATATCCACCTTTCTATGTTCATACTATGCTTAAGTCATTCGAGAGTGTTTGGCTTTTATTGTAAGACAAAAATCGTGAGTTCAAATACAAACACCCTGTACTCTGTGAATGCATTTAGTTGTTTGAGTGAAAACTCCAGAGTAAACTGATCCCATTAGAATCTAATGATTAGATTCTCCAAGTTTAATCATCTGCATGTGCGTAACGATCTCATATCTGGTAGTTAGACTTTAGCTTTCAAGTGCTTCTAATTACATTCTGTAATAATAGAATTAGTCTCTTGATGTCTTGAACGATATTGGAAATCGGACTTTTGAGAATGAAAATTTCGAGTATTTTTCCAACTCATATGAGAGATAATTACTCAAAGATTGTTTCTCTTTTTAGAACGACTGATCATCCAAGGAAATAATTATATATTCGCGTCCAATACCGCAAAAGTTGATTTGAAAAGACCAGCAATTATCTCTTATTTTTTTGTTCTCAATTGTAATTGATAAACATTCAATAGGTGGGGAGACGTTTGTGTATACAACTTTCTCCCAATTTAAACTTTTTGTTTGCGTCTCCATTAAGGTCCCTGAATAAACTCAATCCTAAATGACTAAATGTTTATGTATAATATTTCGAATCAATAGAAATTAAACTCTCAAAAAGTATACAGGGTGATTTATTTTGTGCTTTTGACATTTGAAATGCCTTAGCTTTGCAACAAATGATTTTAAAGACTTGACTTTTACCCCAGTAAAAAGCTGATCGTTAGTTTAAATCGAAAAGTCGTACTAGCCCATATAGAGTGCGATTGAACTCGAGAACACTTCTTATTCTTGTGGAAATTAAGCCCGAATTTTCTAATGATAAAAGATTGTTTTTTGAACTTTTCTCTTAATCAACAGCTTCCAAACCTCTGAAGACTCTCATTCGATTACTTAACAACGAGATCTATCTTAATATTACCATTCTTAGGCCAGTCGAAAGTATCAGGAATCCATTTTACGTTAATTAATCTAATATCATTTGAAAGCTAAGCTATTGAGCTTTAATTTCAGATATTATTGACCGCTGTTCGATGATAATAATATAAAATTTGCTAATCGAAAGTTCAAAGTTCTTCAACAATCAAGTTTAACGCAAGCTCGAAAAATTTTGTCATTACTTAGTTGGATACCTAATACGTGGCTTTATACGTAATTCATGATGAGACAAAAGTCGGGAGTTCAATTAAAAATACCCTGTACTCTATACACTCATTGACTTGTTTGAGTTGTTCTCCAAGTTTAATCATCTGCATAGTGATCATGTTATCAAATTTACGTTCAATTGATGCGTTGTTCATTATACAGAAAATAATCAGGTAATGAGATTATTGCTTTGAGCAAAAGTATTGGGAAAATTACAAATAACATAAATTATACTAAATTGACAAATTCTTTTTAAGAATTGGATTAATTATAAATCGGTAGAACACGATTTTTGTATTTTGCAAATTGAACTTAGTGCTTTCGGTATATGTCGAGTCTAAAACTATTGCCCGAAAAGTTATGAAAGTTGAGAAATTTTCGTCTATCCAAATGGCCTGGCCTATAGATTACCTTTCGAGATTCAAGTTAAAGTGATCAACTCAATTCCGCGTCAAGAAAAAGCTAAAGTTACCCAACTTAGTTATTCAATACAATACGATCACATTGATCCACGACAATTAAAACCTAATTCTAAATTGTTGCTTGCACAGCTCAATATGAGAAATTGGTTGAGAGGAAGAAAATACAAATCTATGATTTACAAAAAGAAGAGCAATTAATTATCCCAGAAGACATTAATTACTTTGACAATAGACTTCCATTACCTAATGAGTCGCGTAAACTATTATCTAAACAAAGACCAACATCGGTAAGCTAATTGTAACAATGGTAACAAAATCATTAGATTGTCAATAGAATTTAATTTAGAGATATTTAAGAATCGAAAATGATTCACCTCATTGCAAGATGTACGTCCCATGTTTCGATAAACTTTAAACTTGGTTAAAATTTCCAAGATCATATAAACCACCACCATGAATTACTCTTGCCAATTTTTGGATATTATTGTTTCGTTCGGTAACGACCAAGGTAAACAAACTAATGAATAACTCAATTCACCCGAAAAGATGATAGAGATGAAGGTGATGATAGGGAAAGGTCAATTCTTTGCCTGTGCTCTCTGTTGTTTTCACCTTCATTTTTATCTTATCTTTTCTTAATTAGATTAATTAGACAATTAGATTAATTGTCTAAACAATTGGAAAGGACTAGACAAAAAATCAACTTTTAAAGGTTTTAATTGAACGTGGAAGTAAAACTTGACGATTAAACCACAGAAAGAGCTTAAATCAACATTTTATTGGTTTGACAATCAAAATCGACTTGACTGAATTGTTCACTCAGAATTATAATTGTAGAAAAGCATTTCTATTGTAAATAAACAGCGAAATCGTATCGATTTCATCTGATCAATTGGTTGTTGAACTAATTTTCTTTTGTTGGTTTACTTGCATATTCGTTGTAATCTGCTTATTCTATCAAAGTGATGAGCGAAATTTTCAAAACAAGAATAAGTCCAATCACCGAAATTAATTAAATTTAAGTATTCACGTAATGAGACATTATTATTGAAAAATAAAATGACTTTTCAAATATCAATCTTTGGATCTTGAATTTTAAAATTTATTGATCTACATAAGTTCTTCTTATTGATACATTAATTGTGTTTAGAAGTTCAATGATTTCATAGTTAGATTATCTAAAGGTCTAATTGAAGGGCGATAAATAGGTACCAATAGGTTGAGAGGAAAGTGGAGATAACGTCCAAAAACAGTTATTTCGATAGGAATGACATGAAATGTGAATAAAATTAGTATTTTTATTTATGACCATTAGCAGGACCAAGCAGAAACGGCGTTAACAGCAGTACAAGCCCCAGAATCCTGAACGAATAGAGACAAAATCCCCACAGAAATGATGATAAACAAGAAAGCAATGTAATTCATACTAAGATTGAAACCCATGATTTTTTTGTATTAAACAAGCTAAATTTAAACTGTTGAAACGGCTTTACACTAATTCAGTTGTAATAAATTTTATTTAATTATAATCTTCACATCAAAAGGTTTTACCTTTTATACAACTTTCTCCCAATTTAAATTTTTGTTTTCATCTCAATAAAGTTCCCTGAATAAACTCAACCAAAAATTTATCTACGTAGATGTAAATTGATAAGTCAATAGAAACTAAACCCTCAAAAGTATACAGGGTGTTTTAGTTTGTTTAAAATGCCCTAGCTTTCAACGAATGATTTCAGAGACTCGACTTCAATAGCAAACTAATCGTGAGTTTAAATCGCAAAATCTAAAAGCAATTTTTAAATTGTTTTCTAGAGTCAGATTAAACTCGGTAACGTTTTGTATACTCGAAAAATGAAGAGCAAATTTTAAAATGACTTTTAGCTTTTCTCTTAAGCCACAGCTTCTTGACCTCTAAATGCTCACATGTGAATACTTCACAATGAGATCTATCTTTCTGTGTTTATATTACTATGCTTAGGTTATTCGAGAGTGTGTGGCTTTTATTGTAAAGGGTTTTCACTTAATTTCAGACAAAAAGGGAAGATACAAATAAGAGTTCTATACCTGAGATTAAATGTAAATCAAGATAAAAATTGAATTGTAGTTGATAAAATGGTCAATTGACCATTAATCTCTGGTGAGATACTCTAATTGTAATTTTCCTTTTTGTCAGAAATTAAGTGAAACATCCTTTATGAAAGCAGAATCGTGAGTTCAAATACAAACACCCTGTACTCTATGAATCCATTTAATTGTTTGAGTAAAAACTCCAGAGTAAACTGATCCAATACAATTCTCCAAGTTTAATCATCTGCATGTGCGTAACGATCTCATATCAGGTAATTAGACTTAAGCTTTCAAGTGCTTCTAATTAATAATAGAATTAGTCTCTTGATGGTATGATGTTGATGATAATTACTCAAAGATTGTTTCTCTTTTTAGAACGACTGATCATCCAAGGAAATAATTATATATTCGCGTCCAATACCGCAAAAGTTGATTTGAAAAGACCAGCAATTATCTCTTATTTTTTTGTTCTCAATTGTAATTGATAAAAATTCAATAGGTAGGGAAACTTTTGTGTAGAATCAGGTAAAAGAAATGTTGATAATGGAGAAGTTGATTGAATACTGAAAATTGCTGATGGAGTAATTAGTTGAACATAATTCGAGTCTCAATTTTTCAAAGTCGTTTATGAAACTGTCCAAAGAGATGAACGAACCAGCGTTTACTGTTCATCTTCTTATGCAACAACTCGAGTCTCACTTTACTTTCAAGATAATCCAATGAAACTACAAGCAAATGAAAACTCATATGATTTGCCTTCACTAAAGATACTCAACTTTATCAACTTTAAACTCTGTTGTTTTAAGCATTTCTTTCAATATATAATTATAATAATTTATTTATCCAACTTCTAATTTTAATTAATATTCATCATCATAAACTAATTTAATTTCTTGATATAATTGTAATTAGTTATTCAATTTAGGAGTAAAACATAGTGAAATTTAAGAGTAACGTTTTTAGAAGCGCATTCATAAACAATTGATTTGATTACTGAATTGTTAATCTTCTAGATTAATCAATTGATTTGATTGTTTGAACTTCGTTCAACTGATGGTAGATTAACTCTTTGATTGTGGACCAACTTTATAAACATATTCTAAAGCAGATGATACAAGACGAAGATCATTTTCTATACTTTTTGACCAATTTTCGACATCACCAAGTTCCTGAAGTAGAAAATGGAAGAAAATCATTTTTAATAACAGATTAGAATTTGATGTTTGGCAATTTACGATTACCTTGACTGATTTGTTTAGGCTTTGCATTACTGTTAACCATTGATTAGCCTGTTTTGAGAATTGAGTAACATTAGCGTGTAATTGTTTAGTCTCAGCATCTAATTTACGTTGATTAAGATAAGCTTGAGCCACTCTGGAAATAATAATAAGAGAAATCAAACAATTAGATGATTAATATTCATAGAAATTAGAAAATTACTTACCCATCATTAAGATGATCAACCATATGATGAGTTAATTCAACTACAGAATCAGAAGCTTCAGTTTTTTGCTTCTCAATCTCTTCTTTCCTCTCTTGTTGTTTACATTGATGTTCTTTTAACATGGAGGATAACATGATTTACTAATTTGATTTAACTTCTTTAGGACCGGTAACAGGAGCAGATGATTTATCAGTTGAATCGTTTTTCTTGATCTGATCAACTAGGGCTGACTTGTTGACACCAGGAGTATATGAATCGGTTATATCGAAATCAGAGACGAGATAATAAATTGAATCTACAAAAGCTTCATAAAGGTCGGGAATGAATCTTAGAAAAAAATTGGGAATATTGAGCACAGAAATGGTAACTGCAATGATCAGGATTGCACCATAAGTCCGATCTGGATTAAAGTGTGAATGAGAATTGGGAGCTATACTCTTGAGATGGCTGAATTGAAATGGTCTCCAGAAACAATTGACTCGACTGGTGTTGATTGAACGCTGTTGAACCAAAGATAATTGATTGGAACCCAATCGAAGCTGATTAACCTTCAAAGATGAAAATATTAATCTGCCAATACGATTACTATGTAAACAAATCATTCCATTTACACAAAAGGTAAGATTATCTCAAACCCAGAATTAGATGATCACTTCTTTGACAGGAAGTTAACTAATTTTATAACAAATTAGAATTAAATTATCACAACAATCAAGTTAATTTACTTTTGATTCAATTGAAAATTTTTTTTTCTAAATTGTTGCTCTTAAGATCAGCTGAGAAAAATTCCTCCCATGTTTCGCCATCTGACGGATTAGAAAAGAACATCAAGGTAAACACATTTTTCTCAAATAATCAAGTTAATCATCTTTGATTTAGTTTATCTTAAATTCTGATTTTTGTGTATTTATTTGAATGATATTAAATTTTATGGTTAATTGATGGAATCGGCTCTCGACGATGAGAATCATGATGATTTTGGATAATGATTTTTGGTGTTGAAGAAGATTGAATTTTCTTGTTTTGAACTTGAATTGATTGTTTTTATTTGATTGTGGAATTGGATGTATTTTAATTAACTGTTTGTTACAGATAAATTAGTTCGTGTTTATTTGTTTTCTTTGTGAATTCCCATTGGTTTTAGATTTAGTACAATTGTTGTTTTCATCTAATCAATTGAGAAATCGTTGTTGTGTTTCTTGTTGCTCTTTTATTTCAATGGTGTTACAGGTTTACCATCGGCTTTTTGGACTACATTCGAGAGCTTTTTATTCATCTCGACCTTTTTATGATGTTATCGTGGTGGACATGCAGGAGCAGAAGCAGCTTGGGCTGCTTCAAATATGTCCGCTAACACGTTACTTTTGACGCAAAAACTGTCCACCATTGGAGAGATGTCCTGTAACCCCGCGTTCGGTGGGATAGGTAAAGGTCATCTTCTTCGTGAGATTGACGCTCTTGACGGTATCTGTCCAAGAATCTGTGACATCTCTGGGATGCATTATAAGTTACTCAATCGACGTAAAGGTCCAGCAGTTTGGGGTCCAAGAGCTCAAATAGATAGAGAGCTTTACAAGAAGAATCTTCAACGTGCCATTTTTAATAAACCTCATCTATCGGTGAAAGCGGCTTCAATTGAAGATTTAATTGTTGAACCTCAAGGCGATGGTTACACTTGCAAAGGAGTTATAACATCTACTGGAGAGCGAATTGAAAGCTCATCGGTTATCATTACAACGGGTACTTTTCTTCGAGGAATGATCTTGTTGGGCTTGGAACGATTTCCTGCTGACGAATGGGCGACAAGCCATCAATTGGTTTATCTAAAACATTAGAACGAATGAATATCAAATTGGGTCGATTGAAAACTGGAACTCCACCAAGAATAGATGGTCGAACAATCGATTATTCTTCTTTAGAATGTTCTAAAGGTGACGATCCTCCGAATCCATTTTCTTTCCTCAACAAGAGCGTTTGGTTATCAGCCGCTGATCAGAAACCGACCTTTTTAACTTATACCAGTCCGGAAACAGCGAAAATAGTTCAAGACAATATTCACCTTTCAAGGCATATCCATGAAGAGATTGTCGGTGTCCGTTATTGTGCATCGATCGAGGCCAAAGTTATAAAATATCCGCAAAATAATCATCAAGTTTGGTTGGAACCAGAAGGTTTTAACTGTGATACCGTCTATCCAAATGGCCTGGCCAATGGATTACCATTCGAAGTTCAAGTTAAAGTGATCAACTCAATTCCCGGTCTAGAAAAAGCTAAAGTTACCCGACCTGGTTATTCAATACAATACGATCACATTGATCCACGACAATTAAAACCTTCCCTTGAATTGAGAAAAGTCTCTGGTCTTTTCCTTGCTGGACAAATTAACGGTACAACAGGCTACGAAGAAGCGGCCTCACAAGGAATCATCGCCGGTATCAATGCAGCTTCAAAATCTCAATCAAAAGAGGCATTAATTGTTCCCCGTTCAATTAGTTATATCGGCGTTTTGATCGATGACCTGACAACCGTCGGAGTAATTGAACCTTACCGTATGTTCACAGCTCGAGCACAATTTAGACTCTACATGAGACCAGATAATGCTGATTCACGTTTAACTCAATTAGGTAATTGTTACAACCAAATTAACCATTGAATCTTCATGAATCACATAATCACATTTATCTTCATCGTCATTCTTCATCTTTGTTTTTCTTTCTCCTGTTTTTCCAGGTTATCAACAAGGTTGTGTTTCCCAAAAACGCTACGATGTTTATTGTCAAACTAATTCAGATCTCGATTATTATAAAAGACTATTAGCTAATTATAAAAAAGATACAAGTGAATGGACTGAATTGTTGAAAGACAATTTAACTACAGCAATACGAGGGAACAAGAGAAGGTGCTTACCCTTAATTATGTTACCCAATTAATCAAAATTTAATTACATTTTCTTTTCGTATTTTTCAGTGCTCGTGATTTAATGAGAGTCGCTGGAATTCAAGATAATCTTATTGATCTATTGAGAAAAGAACAAGTTAATCTACCAGATGATAGAATATTATTGGAACGAATTAGAATCGAAGGTAAATTAGATCGGAAAAGTTAATTTTCTAAAAAGTGTAACGGTTAACTTTACATAAGCAATTGATCTTCATGACCATATTGTCTTAATTTCATCAAAATCAATTTTTTTTCTTAATTTTAATCTAATCTTCAGATGAGATAATCTTTCTGAAACCTAAACTTTTGTCGCAACTTCATATATTCAAATCCTTTTATTTGGACTTATCTTGGGTTCAACATGACCTAACGTAGAAACTAATTAATTTTCATTTTATTAATTATATTATCTTCATATTTGAAAAGTTTGAAACTAAAACTTGGACTCATCCGAAAGTTAGACCAGATTTTACTCAATTCCTAAACTTTTGTCGTGCACTGTATTTTGTTTAGAGTTCACCGTTACTCTCTTATTATCTTTTTCTAATCGTTTATCCATTTGCTAAATTAATTCTAAATTGTTGTTCCCACAGCTCAATATGAGAAATTGGTTGAGAGGGAGAAAATACAAATCTATGATTTACAAAAAGAAGAGCAATTAATTATCCCAGAAGATTTTAATTACTTTGACAATCGACTTCCATTACCTAATGAGTCTCGTGAATTATTATCTAAACAAAGACCAACATCGGTAAGCTAATTGTAACAATTTTAACAATAAAAACAGTTCAATGTTTTATAAATTATTTTCTTCTCATTCCCAATTAGATTTCAAGTGCCTCAAGGATACCAGGAGTAAGATTTTCAGCAATTACAGCTTTAATTTATATGATTAAGAGACAAGAATTGGAAAATTTGACTCAATCTCGTTAAGTGTCAATGTTATCAACTTGAATTGATAAATAGATTGTGATATTTTGTTATGTTTAATAAGAACAAAAATTAAATGAAAGAAAACGATTCATTTTTCAAGTAAAAACTTCTGAAACCCAGTTTTTCAGTTCCATCATGAATTTTAATCCAAAAAGGGTTAGAGTTTCATGGAAATAATAATTGATATTTTCTCTTCTTCTAAACTAGTGGTAAACACTTTTTGATGAATTCAGCAGCATCTCTCATTTCCTAAGAGGGAAAAAGAAGATAATTAGATTGTGGATAGAATTTAATTTAGAGATAATTAGGGAGAGAAAATGATTTACCTCATTACAAGATGTATGTCCCATGTTTCGATAGACTTTAAACTCTTCAATTTTAGAACAAGAAAATTCAGAATCAATTTTTATTTTGATTTTGTATTACTAAATTGTTAGTCTTCTAGAATAATCAATTGGTTGGATTGTTGAAGTCCCTTGAATCATTAACTTAACGACCATCATCGATAAGCTATTATAATAATTGTAATGATTGTTACAATTAAAACTGTTCAATGTTTTATAAATTATTTTCTTCTCATTTCCAATTTGATTTCAAGTGCGTTAATAATACCAGGAGTGAGATTCTCAGCAATTACAACATTAATCTATATGATTAAGAGAAAAGAATTGAAAATTTTGACTCAACCTCATTATGTTAACATTGTAATTCCTATGGTTATCATTTTGATTTGAATGCTTAAAAAAGTTGACTTTGTCTTGAAAATTATATTACTCTTTTCAAGAAAACATGATGGTTCACGAATTTTTTTGGTATTAGTTTCTATTCAATCTGTATGAAAAAAATCAGATCAAGGTACCGATTCATTTTCAAATTAGGCCGATAAACGCTACTATCAGCGTTTATTCACATGAAAATTTGTACATTAGGTTTTACCGAAACATGCTCATTACGCTAAGCTGACAAACGCTTCATAATTTTGGTTTGCTGGGACTTTAGGTTCATAAAGGTTTTCAATAAGGTTTTCAGCAATTACAGCGTTAATTTATATGATTAAGAGACAAGAATTGGAAAATTTGACTCAATCCCGTTAAGTGACAAAGTTATCAACTTGAATTGATAAATAAATTGTGATGTTTTGTTATGTTTAATAAGAACAAAAATAAAGGAAAGAAAATGATTCATTTTTTAAGTGAAAACTTGATTAAAAATCAGGAAAAATGGTTAGATTTTCATGGAAATATTAATTGATTTTTTCTCTTC